TTCACTGCTATGGAATGCAATTTAATAATGTTTTTGCTTGACATCTGTACGTAAGGACAGAATAAAGGACTCTTTCCCCCCAAAAAAATTGTAAAACTAATTTTAAATGAATTCTGAAGAGAATTTTTCATGGCATCTGTGCGTACATACGTACGTATCTCACATAACTCAAAAACGAGTAGCCCCAGAACATTGAAATTTTGTATATAGGACTGCTATAACATGCAGATGTGCACCTCGTATTTTGGTTGCAATTGGCCGCACCAAAAGTATATAAATACATGTATATATATATATATATGTATATATATCCACTCTGTTACTCAGCTCAGTGATCTCGGTTTCTTTATTCTTATATGTTTGTAAATTGTGCATTTTTTTTTTTGCTTTAAAAATGATTGAATTATGCTGTTCCTATCTTCTGGTTAAGATTTTTATGCTTTTAGTAAATCTGTATGCAATATTTTTAGAATTATGAACAATTTAAGTTGTTTAAGTGCCACTAAGCCTAATAATTTTTGTCATGTCGGCCATTGCTTGTTTACATTTGAAACAACAGAAGATTCGTTGCCAATCTAGAGAAAGCAAGCTACGCAATAACAAAGGTAACACCTTCTTTTATTATTGCAAATTAAATCATGTTTAATCCATTCAGGAATTTATTCGAGGAAATAAGTGTTTAAGATTTACTTCAGAATTTTCAATACAGACATTTTGAGTTTTTATGAATTTTTGTCTTGTTACAAAGAACTGAATTAATTGAATGAGAAATGCTGAATCGTCTGTGAAAAACTGTTTCTTTCTTTTCTTTTTGTTGTTCTTTGCTTAATTACTTTTCTACATCGTTTTAGATTTATTATAGTATCTGAGTAGAACATGTGGCAACGATTAGATAATTCTTAAGATGATATAAATTTTGCGCATTCTGAGTTAAAAAATGATTGAAATGTAGCGCTGTTAAGTGAACCTAGGGCCAGAGTGTTGTTATGGTAAACAAATATAGTGAATTTTAAAGAGTGCATTTATTCTATTGTGGTTTATGTGCTATCAACGAAGTAGATTTAAGGGTAAACAAATATAGTGAATTTTAAAGAGTGCATTTATTCTATTGTGATTTATGCGCTATCAACAAAGTATATTTAATTCAATCCAATAAGTTTAAATGAAATGCAAGAAAAATACATATAATTTAATATTCCATACAAGGAAGTCATGCGGTGCATGCATTAGATTCCCCCCCCCCTCCTGCAGTGTACATAAGGAGAATACTATGTTTATTAAAGCTTAGCTTATTTACAAAGAGAAAAGAGAAAGACTTTTAATTACATATTTACATTAAATTATGTGTCATAGCCATACAACTAAAACCATCTTTTCAGCTTCAGGTAATAATTTTCATATCACTGCTAACAGGGAATTTAAAATATTAAGCTAATGCCAGCTTTTTTTAATGAATACAAAATGTTGAATCTCGGTATTTGATTTTCTAATAGAAGATTTATTTTTAGTAATTAATTTTAGTAAGAATTTTTCAGTAATTCTTCTTGAAGGTAATCTATTTCATTACAAACTTTTTTGATTTTAAGAATTTGTGCATATATAGTATTAAGGATAACTTTCTTGGAAATGTTGGAGTTCCAATTTATGATCGAGGTAACTATCTAGTTTTGTTAAGTTTGAGGCATTTAGGATAAATACTAGCATCTTCTAATTTATTAAAGTTGTTGAATGTGACAATGTCATTGACATATCTGTAAATATTGGCAGAATAGGTATACTGTTCATTTGCATGGGAATACTGAAACTGATATTCTTTTGAGAAGAGGAACAAATTACAGATTGCAGAAGAAGTTCTCAACCCCAATGGGATCCCCGTGACTTGTTTAAAAAATGTGTTATTAAAATTAATGTAATTATATATACACACACATATCCATATATAAGATAAAAAAATATGAAAGCAAACTTCTAATTTTAATTGCTATAACCTCTTTTGTTCTTCATTTCATTTGGGAACTTCATCTCTCTGTCTTAGAAATAGCGCCATAAGTTTAAACTGCATCATTCAAATTAATCATGCGATCTTATATATCGCTCAATGCAGAAGTTTCTTGCCCAATCAAAATAATTGTAAACCAAAACTAACTTGAACTGAAATGTTTCGACTCCCTCTCTTCTTCCTCTGAACTACTGCAACATTCTCCTCTTTTCGCTTATGCTTTCATCCTGTTAAGACGCTTCTGCTATAATCTATATTCGTTTCTAACGCTATAGTATCAACATTGTTCTGGAAATAGGCACGATTGGAGTGCTAAGTGAACTGCGAACATAAATGAGAATTTAAATAAATATGGAATTTAACCTGGCTTAACTGCTTCTTCTTAAAAATGGATGGACGCTCTAAGCATCAACTATTTAAGGTAAACAACATTAATAATCAAATCATTCATGTTGTGTCATTGAACTGCAGTTTTATTACATATATATATAATTTGATAATAATAAGCAAAAAACTTGATCTTGATAAATGATAACTTATGGAATTTTTTACAAATGCAAAAAGCAACTATATTGAATTCAAACTTTCCCATGTACTAAATCTGCACAATTTATTAAAATTTTTAAATTGTGCAGATTAATTAAAAATTATTAAATTATTAAAATTAATTAAATTATTAAATTAAAAAAGCACTTTGGTTCAAAAATAATTAGTTACTACTGAATAATTTTATATATCAGTGTTATATGCATTAACATGCAATGCTTATAGTATATTACTTGGCTACATTTTACAGTTGAAACAGACATTTGTCCTTGAGATATGTAATAAAATTAATAAAATTAGCTGCATTTTGGTGTTGGTGGGTAATGAATTTATAATAGGAATTATTAAAAGAGACAAAATAACTGATCCTGAAACTATGTAAATATTGTAACAAAATTACGTTATACTGTAACACCTATTGCGGGTTCAATTAAAGTTAACTAGCTTAATTTTAAGTGAAATAAAGTATTACTTATGTTCTGTGGAGTGAGTTACCACCCAAAACTTCTAACCCTCAACAAACAATCACAGAAATAAAAATAATTTTATTTTACCTATCTTAAATTATTAAAATCTATATAACACAAAGTTACCAGCCAACTAGACATGGCTTAAACGCAAACTTCTTTCACAACTGCTACAAATTCAACAATTTAATCTAATCAGCAAAGGCTACAAGCTTCTCCTAGAAGCACAACTCTCACATACATCCATAATTTGGTACTTACGTATTAGCAACTCTCACATACATCCATAATTTGGTACTTACGTATTAGCATAACCAACCACCTTGGTGATTTTTCACAGAAATAAAGGTGATTTGGTGAATTTTCGGATTGTAACTTACAATGGATATAGGTACCTAAAGAACTGTTATGTGCATGCTTGCCAGAGTTTGGCGATGTCTACTAAGGTGATTGTGATAATACATAAGTGCTCATAATTCTAACTTTATAGTACAATAGCTTGATACTCAAAACTTAATTTCCGGAATAAGTGAATCTTAAGGCGAATTGAGGCAGAAAGGAAAGATGCTAATTAAATTACATTTCATTAGTAAAACTTAAATATAAATGACCATAATATATTTAAGGAACTTATTAGTAATATTTAAGAATTAGTTTTGTAAATATATGTTTAATAACTCATAAATGAAGTTTTAAGTGTAAATTTGATGGAATTTACAACTTATTTAAAACTTAAATGGAAAAAAAAATATATATATCACGTTTTTCTAAATTAGTGCAGAAACTCTGATCAATTTGTCAAAATTGGAAACTGAAATCTTAAAGGTTTTCCACACAATGATACTCCAATCACAGTACAAAAGAAAACACATTTGAGAATGAAATCAGGATTTCCTGAATCAATGACGCTGATAATTAATGAATTAACCTTAACGATTCTCATTTTCTATATAACATTCAGTGATGCACTGTATTGATTATGTTTTTATGATGATCATTTATTCAATTTTTCAGTAATTAAACTATACATAATGGTTGATAATGTGATTCATAATCAACCACTGCTGATCTGATTAATTCTAGTTTTAGATAAATTTAAGTGATTAACCATAAGCTATGTAAATTCACACATAGATATAAAAAGCATCTGCAGTGAAAAATATTACATTGCATTGTTTTTACACAATAAATTACTTGAATACAGTAATCATAGTCTAGCACTCCAGCAGTCAAATAATAACATTCATTTATTTATAATATATTATAACAAGAGAACACTTTAACAATAGCAAAAATAAAATGTATATTATTTTGACGGGGGGAGAAGCAAACTAAGTTATGAATAAGAGTTTCATAAGTTGAAAACCGATTTAACAAATTAGATACATTCAAATTGCTACTTCTTTATTTCAACTACATGCAATTATTATTATTATTTTTTCCCTGAATAATAATTCATTGTGGGCTATCTGATACCTGCTGATAAACCATGAGAAAACTATAGCAACATTTTGCCAATGAAACCTGGTTTTCTGATTTCGAGCAAATATTGTCAGGCAATTATATTCAAAAATGACTTATTCTTTGCAGCTCGTCTCTGTCTCCATCTGAACTCTGACAAGTATACAAAGATAAATGATGATATGCTTTGTATACGTCATTCCTTCATTCTGTTGACCTCTACATATGTTCTACATGGACAGGATTAAAGTTGACATTGACATAAAAAAAAAAAAAAAAAAAAAAATCCAGAACAACTTCAATGCCTGTTCACAGCTTACAAGAATCAGAATCATGGGAGGTGTTTCTGGTGATATATCAATGGGTGACAGATAACCAACAAGTACATCAGAACTTCAACATAACATTATTCTTCAGCTAACTGCACAATTCAAATAATGAGACATTATTAAATAAAGCATAACAGTTACATAATTAAAAGATAATATGACAGATATATATGTAAATATATATACACACATACATACCTCCTGCATAACAATATCTTGACCTTTCCTAATATACTGCCCTTCAGCTTTTACTATAGTTTGTAAGAACTTCAGATACTGTACATGTCTCCCGTGAGTTTCTATGCAATGCACAAAATGTTGTACAACACGCTCACTGAGTTCATTGCAAAGTGCAACATTATCCATGAATATACTCCGCATTGTTTGGGCTTCCAACAACTGAAAAGAGATCACTATAAATCAATAATAATGAGAAGAAAAAAAAAAAAAACGCACTGAAACTTAAAAAAATATTTTAAAAATATTATCATTAAGAATTAGATTACAATCTACACTTCAAATCTGACTGACTTCTGTTCTTAAATATGACTTCATAGTTTGATAACAAAAGAAAAACTATATGTAGCTTTGCATAAGCAATGGGACTACCTTTCTTCAAAAAGGAAAAATATTCTGAACTTAGAGAAGAAATACCTTGTTTAAACAAGTTAAATAAAAGTAAATACACAGCATCATCTATCAACTAAAAATTCAAAATTATTACCATATATATGTTATAAAAAATTTCAAATGGAATGAAGTTGAGAGATTTAATTTTAAGGATCAGCATAACAGATAAGATACTGATTAAACAATCTTTTTTTCTTGGTCATTAAAAAGAAAAGTGTCATCAATTTAACACCCTTAAAAAGATAATAATAATAAAATAATTTCAGTATTTGTGCAAAATAATACACTTAATGACTATGATTAGTGGGTACAGGAGAAATTGTTTTAGTCAATCCATTAATTTGGCTACAGTAACTGTTTTGATAAATGAAATAAGTCTGATTTAAAGAAAATTCAGTAAAAGAGAGTAAATTTTCAGTTTTAGTACTATAGAAATATAATTCTAAAGTATGGTTTTAATATTAGACAGTGTCCCTTTGACATAAATATAAGTAAAAAAATATTTTACATTAACAGAAACTATGCTTGAATTGTGGAGAGTAATTTCTTGAATTTATAGATAAATTCAAATGAATTTTTCCTGACGTTAATATTATAGGAAAGTAATATGGAGGATTAGTAACTAAAGGCTAACAGTTAATATAATTTCAAATTAGAAAAAATACAAATTTAGTGGATTTGGGAAAGAGCATAAAGTCTAGCATCATTAGCATTGGCTCTTTAGAAACAGCAATTAGAGGGCCTTTATTTTATATTTATGTAAATCCATATTTTAATGTACTTTTCATTCACAATAAAATCTGATTACATCCATTCAGTCTAGAAATACCATTTAGACTTATTAAGCTTAAGGCTAATAAAAATAAAGCTAATATAATTGATGTTACTACATTTCTCTCTAGTCGAACAACAGATGAATAAAATTTTTTAAATTATTTTCCAGATAGCTTGCTTCTTTTTTGCTTCTGACTTAAAGCAATGAAGATGCAAAATTTTCAGCTCCTTATGTCTGTCTATAAACAGATGCATCCAGTTCTCTTATATCATTTTCTCTTTATATTTTCTAACTGATTATCTGTAATATTTACATAATGAATGCATGCAATGAAGATAATAATGTTTGTTTCTTGATTACTTGGTTATCTTCAATATAAAATGAGATGAACTAAACCAATGTTTGTCATGTAAAATAAATTATTTCCAAAATCATTATATAAAACTTCCATTTAAAAACATGCTTATTTTAATCCAAATAAATATATTCATTGCGATAACATGCTCAAACAGGCCCACCAGCAGCCGAGTGGTAAAGCCGCTGAACACTGGTAGTTCGGTCCGAGGTTCGAATCCTGCGAACGGACTGGCTGCATGGGCGTTTTCGTGGTTTTCCCTATGTGTAATGTGTATACGAGCCAGTTTCCTTTAGAAAGTCCTCTGCGACGGCATCCCTCCCTTTAGGCAGATAGCCCTAGTGTGCTTTGCCGTAATCTTAATAAACCAAACCAAACCAAACCAAACCAAACCATGCTCAAACAATTGGAAATATACTATGCTCTCCTTTTGTTGCTTAAAAAATAAGAATTTTATTTTATTTTTCAAGATATTCTTTCATTTAATATGATAAATATTATTTACAACAAATCTATATATGCTATTAAAAAACAAGGAATAATTAACTATAGTATTAAGAAAATAAAATGCTGTCATTTTATCCAACATACTATGATGCAAACTGAAACAGCATCTAAGAAATTCTACATTTTATATGCAACAACAAACCCCTCCCAATCCCCCCCTTACATTATAAATTTTGCCTTTTCATTTCCTACATGTAAATCAAAAATAAAGGTCAGCAATCACCTACATTAAATTAATCTTGTAATATTTTCTCACAACTTTCAAAGAAAATTCACAAAAGAATTTATAAATGTATTTCTATATACCATGGAACATAAAAAAACAATTTTGATACTCATATTCACATGTATAATTCAATGGAATGTGATTAGTGAAATTCATTTTTGAATAATAATATAGATAAAATTAAATGTGGAAACAAGTATACACTTACTAGAAATAATAATTTTTAATGCACAGATTTCATAAATAACAAAAATGAATGCACAGCTCAGATTTAGATGATTAGACTCAGAATTTGGTTAAAACAGTGGATTCACAATTGGAATTAGACTTGATTTTTATTTCTCATGCAAGTAAACTTAAGTTATCAAAAAAGTAACAACAGACACTGTATAGCTATAAGTAGCCAGACATGGAGAAGTGGATGTGGCTGTTATCGTGGTGTGAAACAACAATGAACAATATCAAAATGTTGCAAATAGCTTTGGGAAGATAAAAACACATGAGCATTAGAAAACAATGGGTAAGTGAGCACAGGTGAATAATTTCGAATGTGGCATGATCATTAGTGCCATTGCTGGAACAAACTGGTTTATGAAATACTGACCTTGCTGAAGGTGCCTAAACCAACTATTAATGACATCATTATAAAATGTAAACATCCAATATTAAAAGATGTTACATCATAATAAATGTAAACAAAACAATTATGAGCAAGAAAATATAGTGGTAAATTACATAAACTTATCAACAAATTCATTCAATCCTGAAGAAGGTAGAGAAAACTTGTACTTCCTTGGCAGAAGCAATCATTTATGAGTGCTCAAGTACTGCTGGATTCATCATAAACCCAGGACTTTTCACTAGGAACCGAGAAACACAGGCTTTTCTGAATCTGTGGCTGCCCAGAAGATCAAAATGAGCATGGAGAATGTGAAGCATTACTTGCAATGATGCAAAGCTCATTACTGACCACAAAGCAATGGAAACAAATTTCGTTACAGGATGCAGCAATTAATGGATGCATCCGGGATGCTAGGAAATGACGCATTACACATTTCATACCTGAGTATACTGAGCAAACTATCAGGTCTGGTATCAAAGATAACATGTTTTAAGATTTTTCTCATGTTTCAGTCCATATCACTTATTTCCTGTGGGAGGAAAGATAATTCTGATACTGTTAACCCCTTCGAGCCGGGTAGCGAAAACGCGCGCTTATCGAGGAGGCCGGCAGTGTCTTCCGCGAGCGTCTCTCCAGGGTCGGGGGCTTTTTTGCTACTAAGCCTAAATCCATGAAATTTCCGAAGTATCAACGCATTGTTTAATAATGCTCTATAGAGAATTTAAACGGCTTATGCTTTATAGATATTTTTATATATATACTTTAATTATCTTATTTCTTGTTTAAATGCATATTTTACACATTTTATTTTAATTACTTGCCATTTTATGACTTTTAACATTATACATTTGAAAACTAAATATATTACTTAAAATTCTCTTTTCGTATGAAAAATTTGAAAACAGGGATCTACACACAGTCCTACGTTACATTCCTTGAACTTGTAATAACTCATTTGCCGTTTTGGAGGATTTTTCCGGGAAGGTGAACAAACGAAGCATCGTCGTCTCATTTTCTTATCAATCTCTTCTGAACAAAGTTTTGGAAAATGTCTTTCAGTTAATCTTTCAGAATCAATATCAGAATTTCAGAATCAATATCTGAAATATTTTGCATCATTTCTGCTATTTCATGCTCTGTTAAACATTTTCGACGCTTTGACATTGCAACGGTAAAAACAGAAAGAATTCACGTCTAACAAGATATAAGTATTTTCTAAAAACTGAACTGTAAACCAAAATACTCAACGCTTTAGCGCATATAAAACTTCTACTTACAATAAACAACTACCACAGGCAAATAAAGTGCGATTTAAAGAGACGTCATAAATCACGCCATTCGGAAACATTTAGTTCCCCATTTGTTTATGTAATCAAAAACACGTGTATGTGAGTCATGTTTCTCTCATTTCGAGTAGAAGGTCTAATGTACATGTATCTGAAACCATATGGACATACAGTGCCATCTTGTGGCAGAAATTATAGTTTGAAAAACGTTCCAGAACGCTGGCACAAATACATGACAGTAGGTAGTAAACGAGAAAATGCTCTGTCACGCCTGCGTGTTGGCCGGTAGGTGACTGTGTTCGTTGCTGGCACGTAGATGTGACAGTCGGCATGAAGGGGTTAACAATTCTATACTTCAAATTCTCTGGCAACAGTTCAAGGAAGCACCATTCTTGTATCAAAAGAATAATTATTCAATCTACATATCAAAGTTGTTCTTCAATGATTTAAAGAGACATGTGTTGAAAAACTCAGTCTTCATATAGCTTCTATCACAATTCCATTGAATACCTCTGGGAAGAACTAGAACACGTATTGTATGTGTGACTAGACCACCAGTCTTCAGTGGTTAGATTCACTGCAACTCTCATGAATAAATGGATGGCAATTTTAATTTCTATGGATACACAGCATAAGAAGGCAGAAAGCCTTTCAAGGCAGTTTGTCATTGATGTCAAATGATGGATCCACATCTTAAAATGTGCCAGCAACAAAAGTAGATGTCTGGATACTTTTGGATATACAGTGGCTATCTGTTAAAAAATTAATTTCTTATGACAGAACATATGTAGTTGGAAATATTTGATCATGCTAATTTCTTTGAAACTATATAAACATATCAATTTTTAATACTCTTGTACTGAGCAGAAAGTAAATACTATAATAGTGAGCAACTACTGAATATATATTCTAGGCTCTCAATGCTGAATTCATGCAATCCAACATATTCTCTATCTGTGAAGTAAAATTTAAAGCAGAATTAATATGCGACTACATCCTAAGAAAACAAAAGGGTAAAGGTCACTAAAATTCTACTACAATAAATAATTTAGATCCTACAATTTGTGCTAAGATATGTGCGCAGAGTGCGAATGTGCAAATTAAAAGTCAAAAGCAGATGGTGGTTACTTTGCACAATCTATTGATAAATGTGTCATTTTTTAAAATAAAAGGTGCATTTGCATCTTAAGTTACCTTACCCGCAAATGAGACTGGAGAACAATTCCAGATATGAAAATAAGAAAACAATTATTTTAAAATTATAATAGCAGTTAAAACAATAGTATAAAATAGTTAAATGAGATACAATACAAAGTCCGTAATCCGTACGTCCAATATCCGGAATGATCTATAATCTGGACAAGTCACAAAGTTACGCATGCGCGTAAAGCCAGTAAAACGTTTACACCTGCGCACTTCTGATAGTGAAGAAAGTGACAGAGAGGTTATTGAAAATGAAATAATTTCGATTAGCAAGTTAGTCAATATTCTCGACACAGCAATTACAGGACTTAAACAGTGGAACTTTGCAGCTGAACAGGAAATTATGTCTGTTTATAGAATTAAAGAGAAAGTGTTAGCACAAAAAATGAAGCAATTTAAACAACTTACATTGAAAGAAATGTTTAATAAAGTAAACAAATATTAAGCTTTTTTTTCTTTTGTAAATTTTGATACCCTTTATATCATAATTGCTCCTTATTTCATAAATTATGGTTTCATAATTTTAATTGCATAATTTCTGCATGCTGTCTTACCAGATTTAAATTGCTGATCTATAATCCGGAAAAACCCCTAATCCAGAATTGCCAAAGTCCCGACGAGTCCGGATTACGGATTTTGTACTGTATATTATTATTAATCTTTAGTACTCACATAAAAATAATAAATAAAAAAAAAAAAAAAAAAAAAAAAGACTACTTTAATGTACATTTCTGTAGCATGATGGAAAGAATTCATAATATAAACCTGATATTGAATAAACGAATAATTACATGAAAATATTTAATAAATCAATAGTTATGAGTAAACCTAAAAAGAATTAAAGTAACAGCCTTTATCTACAGTAAGTTGCTGCTGAAATTCAATATAAGGAATTGATTAAGAGGAAAGTGAAATTTATTTTAATTTATTTCTGTGCCCTGTCTATAATGACATTATACACTGGGCACAGCCAAACTGAGGCTCTTTGGTCTCTTAATGCAGTTTGCACCATTACAAACAATACTTTCATTTTTGAAACCTCATTCTATTTTGAAATGGAAATCATGCTAGGATATGATTTTTACAATAGGGAATTTCATTTTTAATATTATATTATACATACAATAATTTTAACATTTCATCTTATGCACCATCTCTGTAACTTGATGTGGTTGTGGTCATACTATTTTTAGGCAAGGGTATTAAAACATCAGAAAAGGTTAATACATTAACAACATTTTGCATTTAACATGTACTTCAGATTTTAATGAAAGGTACAAAGAATATGTTTAGTTCTAACTGACACGGGAAGAAACTAATCATATTCAATTGTTTGTTTGCATTTGATGAATTAAATGATTTAGGGTTACCTTTTTATCTTCATATGCTGGTCCTCTCATCAGATAAAGGAAATTATTTTTTATGCAAATATATAAATAATTATTTTTTATGTAAATAACTTTCTAAGTTGACAGCATTTCTTAAATATTTTCTGTACACCAAACTGAAGTTTTTATGCATAGCCCTGTGTCTTCTCTCAGTTTATAATTCACAGTAAAATGAAATCATTAATTCTCAAGTCACTGCATTATTCTTCACTAGAATGAAAAGCTTTTTATAAGTTTAAATATTATTGCATCACAAGAACACACTTTCCTGCATACAGTGTAAGAGCAATAATTATTTATTTATTTATATTCATATTACATTTTACCATTTTGATTATAAAATTGAATATCGTTGTTAAATTACTCAAAAAAATTTCTTTCTAACCAAAAACAATTTTACAGCTTTTAAAATAATATAAATATCTAGTCAGTAGTTTTATTGGGTTCAAAAATTTGCCTCAGATGAAATTTGGCCACCTCTCTATAGAACAATAAAGGGTTAAGCTGAAGAACTTCCAAAAGAAATAAAACAAATATTTACTATCACTCTCATGGACTTGTTTCTATTACATTTATTTTTGGTTGGTGTTTTTTACAATCTTATCTATTTTGAAATCATCTATACCTGGAAATATTTTGACTATATTAACTTTTAATAACTCTATTTAGCATTCTTCAAAATGTTAGCTTTTAATTATATATAACACAACTCCAATTTTTTCACTTTCTTTGTCATTCTTGCATTTAATACTCATAAGAGAAGCTGAAATAATATACTTTACTTTTAGTAATGCATATACACTATTATTTGCTATAAAAATTATTTGAACCATAAATTGTGCAATTCCTAAGTATATATATAATTTTAAAAATGTATGACATTAAAAATTTAAAGTACATAAAATTTGTTAGAAATGATCCCCCTTTTCTTAAATAAAAAAAATTTAAAAGCACATTAATGGATTTAACTTATCTGTCACCGAATAGCAGATAACCAGGTACAGACATTACATATCAAAAACTTTTCTACATTAAAGTGAAATTAAATTTTCATGTAGAATATATACTAGATGCAATCAAAATTTTATTTTTACTGGAATAAGAAAATTAATATTTTTATTGCATCCAAAATGTACCAGACTCATAAAACATCTTAATGCAGTGGACCAGAGAATGATAAAGTAATAAATATTCTCACTTTCAGAAAATTCTTTGATAAAAATCATCATGTAAAACAAACCAAAAATATATATTAACTTACACCAGGGTTCAGAAATAGCTCGATATGTTTATGCAGTAAGGCTTGGTTTGCATGGTTATTAAGACAAAAATGCTGAAGAAACTCATGAGCAAGTCTCATTAATTCATTCATTCTTATATCTTCTTTCTATATAAATAAATAAATTAATAAGAGATTTTTTTTATTTCAGAAAATAAAAGCACTTGTGTATTTTCATAAATGATATAAAATAAAAAAGCTTTAACCTTATCATATGGGATTTGCAAAAGCTCTAGGATCACTGCATGAGCACCCATGTTTCGTAAGAGTCGTTGTTCATGCTTACGAGGCTTCTTGCCTGTAGCTGTTTCTTGCACACACAGTTTAGTCAATCGTAATAATATCTAACAGATACAAATAAACTATATTACATCTTTGAAAACTGTGGATGCTATTTTGTTTTCTTATGCAAGAAAAGAGTGGTATACAACAAATGTCTCAGTTTCTTAAAACTCGAAAGATTAATGAGCAAAAAAGCAGTCATTTAAACATAAATGAATCCAAATATCCTAGGTATAAACTAGAAGCATTATTAAATTAATGAAGTAATTTTGAATTTAAAGCAAAAGATATATTTAGTGGCCATAAACAATTATACTTGTAAGAATTAAGTTTATTTCTTTCATTTACGAAAAAATTCTCTTGAATGCCATACAGAAAAATTTAGGTAGTTTATGAATACACTATATGCTATATAATTCCACAGATTAAAATTAAAAGCATAGAGCTTAATTACTTTAAAATTACTTACTATACTTAGCAAATATGACTAAATGAAGAGATGAGATTTAAATTTTAAAAATACCTGACAGCAACTTGGTAAAAATTATGTATGTTACAAAATGTCTAATAAATATCTTAAATGTTTATCATTTTCAGAAAATACAAAGTATAGTACCTGCTGAATAGTTTTGTAATTCTTATTCTGAATAGGATCCACAGGGGGCCCAATATCTAAATCTATGGCAGATCCTTCATTTGCAGCAGGTCCTAAGTCCTAAATTACATGCAGTTTTTAGACAGAAAATACACAGTAATACCTACATAGAAAATGACACTAAAAGAAAAATTAAATTTTATTGACTTTTCAGAATACTCTAATTCCTATAAATTTTCTGACAGGACAAGTATAAGGCCACATTTAACAAACAAATTGATTTTAATTTTAAAAGCAAGCAAAGCAGGAGGTATAGGAAATTAAATCTCTTAATATTCTGTTCAAAATGCCGTTAGAATAAATCACAAATAATTAATGAAATACCATACATCATTCCCCAAAAATATTATTAATGAGATATATCTTTAAATTTCTTTAAAAAAATGACCACCATTTAGTTTTTTTAAAAAAAAAAGTTAAAAAAAAAAAAATGTAACATTAATGCAGTCTTTTAAACACACATACCAGATGACTTTTTTTCTTTGATTTTGATTCCTTTTTTCTATCAGAATCACCATCTCCATCATCATCAGTGTTTTTCTTCTTCTTGGTTACTTCTTCCAGCTTAGATTTGAAAACCCACAGTTCAGACTTCTCTACAAGCAATCGGAGTTCATCAAGATCTGCTTTAATTTGCTTATAGTTTTCTACATCACTTGCAGAAACAAGCAGTTGGACCTACAAATAGAAAATATATGTGATTTATAAAAGAATATTCATAAATCATTAGTTAAAAAGTTTCAGTTTACTCATAATAGACTAAACTCAATTACTCTTTTGAATAAAAAAAAAACTAAAATTCAGCCAAAGTTCCATAAAACAAAGAAAAGTAATGTTTCAGATTAATATTTATATAATAATTTTGATACTAAATCATTAATTTCAAAATCTAAATTCTGGGAAAGAAGAGTTTAACTTGGACATAACTGTTTCCATACAGGATAAAAATGGTCACAAATGCTTAAATAGAGCTCTATGATTGAAAAAGGAAAACACATGATAAAATCTCTAAAATTGCCTTAAACTATCATACATTCTTTAAGTTCAATAACAAAAATAGTCAGGTTTCTTTATCGTTAAGTGTACTGAACAGTTATATGTGTTCAAAAAACTACAAATCTACCATTCAGTTTTATCCCACTATCTCTAGACTCTGTTCTTTAAGACTACTCAAACCAAATCTTTTGGTACTAGAGCTTTTTTTTTTTTTCCCTGTTATCGGCCTAAATATAACTACACGATGGAAAAAATTTAATTAATCCTGTCTTACTTTGCCTTCTCCTACATATACTACTGACATTCTAATTAAAAGCAAAAATTATTTCTTCTTATTCTTTCATTTTCTATATGCACTCTATTCATATTTCCCTCTGCTCTGACGAATTCTCTTATTTAAATGCTTTAATGGTCACAGAAGGTTCTTATCACTACATATCGTCACTGAAAATTTTTTGAGTTTTCACTCACCATAAACAACATTCCTTTGTTAAATGTAATTACACAACAGTCCATTACATCTACCCTGAATATCATAAAAGAAACAGCTATAAAATTAGGTCTGTAGATTCTCTAGGAAGGGCCCACAGTGATTTCCTTAAAGTCTACAAAGATTCTTTTTTTTTTAAAACTTCATGATAAAAGTGAATCCTTTCACCCCACATAACCTCAATGGTCAAATTACTCTCTGTATTATCAGATAGTCTGGAAAATAATCTAACAAAAGAAGTGTTGCTGATTCACAGATAAAATGTACTCAAGTGATTTTTTCAAAATCAGAGGATAATTTTTTTAACATATTTTTAAACAGATTCTAATATTTTAAAATTTTGACAATGGAAAATCTATTCACTCATACATCTTGAAATTTTCACATATTATAAAATTAATCCTTTGCACTTCCTTAAAAATATGATAGTTCAAGAAAATCAAATAGAAAAATGAATAAAGTTTCAGCATTATCACATTTATGATTTCATATGACTGAGGAAGAAGATTAGATAGTACAGAGATCATGATATTTTTCAAGAACTAGTTCAGAATATATGCAGGCAACAATATATATCAGCACAAAAGTCATCCCTATGCAGCTAAGAAGGAGTAACTTTTTCCACCTTTGCATACAAAGGCCTTTTTCCTTCCCTCCTATGGACTTTACAGCATTTTACTACAAAAATAATTTTCCTTTTTCCTATGCACAATGATGAAGCTGAATGAAAGCCCCCCCCCAAAAAAAAATTAACTTCCAAGTTTCTTTCTATCAATACAATTCACAATTACAGTTCTGTCTTTAAAGACTGTACTGTAACTCCAAATTATTTAAAAAAAGGGGGTAGGTAGGTAGGCGAGGGAGAACGCCTGATGTATAACTTAGGTAAACAGTCATGTGTCTGTCCTGTGTCCTCCAAGGGCTGAATTGGGAGTTTATTAAATTTAAAAGAAAATGCATACATTGTCATACAAGGGCATGTATGTATACATAATTACATATTTATGTTTATTTATATGCTTACTTATATGTCTATTATTTATATGTTATGTGTAAAGGGGTAGAGAATCACTTTACTTGCAGCACAGATCACACCACAATTAGCCTAGAGTTTTTTCGAAAGAATTTTTCACAAGAAATTTAATGGCACCTTTCATAGATTATTAATTTGCTCTAGATCTTTGGACATATACCAAAGGGATTTTTTCAGTAAGAAATTAAGAGAAAATCATTAAAAATTCCTATAAAAAAACCTATTGTTATTATAACACTATTTAATACTAAGATACATATGCAGTGGATCAAATATATAACATATATATATGAAACACTGCACATGACACTGTACATTAATGTTTTTCTGCTATCCAGATCAAAAGCAATTTTTCCAATATTCTCAAACATCTCTGATCTTTGTTTAGTAACCAATTTCACCCCTTTTGTAACATTAGCAGCTTTAATGAAATCTTTGACTTTCACTATCTCTAACACCACTGTATTTGGGGTACAATATGCAATAGCGAAATCCCAGATATACATGCCATTTTCATACTTTTCAAAAGTCTCTTTTTCACTTCCAAGGTGATCTTAACAATTTTCTTCCTTGCTTCACTGTTCTCATTAACTCTGCTAAAATTTACTGTTAATGAATTTTAAAAAAATTACATGAAAATCACTTGAAAAAGAGTTATAGGATGAGTTGTTTACTTACAGTTGCAACAGGCATACTGATGCTCATAGGCAATCATAGCACTGTCTCAAAAAGTGTAGTGTGCACAGTCATGACTCATCAAACCCAGTCATGTTTCAAACAAATATTGTTTACCAAACAAAAATTTTCACATCCAAACAGGATGTATTTGAAAGCAGACATATTACCAAGGTACCACTGTCTTCTATAATTATTATTTTTATTACTACTAAATAGTATTAGTCTACTATGTATTTATGCTTCTCCTATCAAGATTAACGATAAAACAGATTTAACTTAATTTCCTGTTAAGTTTTCCTCCCTAAATACATACCTCAAAACATGAATTAATTAAACATCTAAAAGTTTCTCTTTATTTTAGTAAATAATTTTAAATCTATTCTTTACTGAATTACAGTGTTAAAATACTTTAATTTTTGGTGACTTATTTTTGCTTCCTTCTTCTTTCTAATTGACAGTTTCAGATTGCTTTCCTTTCCCATAACATATGACATTTTGTGCCAATGCCATAAATTTCCTTATTTTTATGTATTAACCAACTTGCTTGTTGTAATGGAAGCTATAATGCTCTCAACTAAAATACATCCAGTAATTTTCAATATTTTTTTTTTTTAAAGTTGAATTCCCTTTCTACATTTTAATTTATTAGTTAACTATCAAAGCAGACAGGTAATCCTAATAAATTTTAATATTTTTACTTACAGTTGCTCTTGCTGGCAATTTATGATATGCATTGAGCTTACAGTTTAAAGATAAATAAATAAAAAAAAGATTTTTAAATATAAGAACAATACAGAGAAGAATATAACAGTTTAATAATACAGTCAGCAGCATCATTAGATTTAAAGGTATAAAAAGATCAATTTTTCTTTCTTTTGTAAATGTTTAGTAGAATAACCACAAGTCATTTAATCAAATTACTAGAAGTGGTGACTTTAATAAATATTATTTTTGCAGTAAGAATTAAAAAAAAAAAAAAAAAAAAAAAAATTCAGGCTCAAATAATTTAAAAAAAAAGAATTTATATGAACATAAAAATATACTTGTTTAAATGCTTGCAAAACTTCCTGACGTTGACTAAAATGCCTGAAAAGTAGTAGCAGAGCTCCAGACACTAAAGGTGGATAATCATGCATTGTGAGATGAAGAAGCACTCTAAGAAAAGTACGTCCACCTTGACCATCTAAATCTATTTCTGTGCAGTCATCCCTTAATAGAATAAATAATATATCTGATGAAAAATAATGAATTTCGAAAATTATTAAAAAAATCTGCACATAATAAAAATTTAATGAAAAGATTTGTTAACTTTTTTACTTATTTTATGAAACAGTGAAAATCTATCACTTCAAGAATAGATAAAATTTCAGGAAACGGGGATATTTACATCATATTATGAAAATCATGATTACTTTGCAATAACACATAACTCTTGAAATTATTGAATGACTAAGTTTCATTAAATAATATAATCAGCTAACAAATCAACTTAAATTTATGAACAAAATTAAAAAGTTGTCTACTAACAATTTAAAGGAAATTATGCATAATGCTTCACATATTAAAATGCATTTAAGTAAACGTCTCATCATTTACATTTATTTTAAATCTAAAGTCCTCATGGCTTTATCATATCCAAAGAATCTAACATAACCTGTATGCAATGAATATGGATGGACTGGTGAGAAGCTTAAGGGGTGGCCAATCCCCTTAGAGCAGATATACAAATGTTGATGTGGCCTGGAGGATTAGAAGCACTCAAGTGTGAAAATAAGTTCATGAGAAAGGTTACTTTTCTCGAAGGGGTTGATTAGGTTTTTAATTATGTATCTTTCCTTTATAACAAAATATGGTGCAGGAAGAATTTGGTAGTATAAATGGATATTAAGTTTTATCTCAAACCATACATATTTCTGTGCTTATTAAAAAAAATTAAAACTTGTTAGAGAAACTTAAAGGAAGATGGGTAAGCGCAGCAGTTTCAAAATTTTGCCCTACCTTGGAAAAATTAGAGATCAGGACGTTGCTAGCTAATATCAGCTGTTTAAATTCATCTCTTCAAGCTCAAACCCAAGTCTCCCTGATATCAGAGGGTTAATATTACATCCACAAGATTAAAAATTAGATTTTAAGTAATTATCAATATATTATTAAAAAAGAAACTCACTTTCCACCAAATATAGCTTCAGCATGATGACTGATCCTCTCTAAATCAATGCCTGAAAGAAAGGAAATTACAGTACAACAGTAACGATTCAGACAAAGGATAAAATCATATTCAAATTATAAACATGCATTTTTATTCACATTTAAAGTTAAGACAAGTATTTTAAAACAATAAGAATGGATGAATAAAATTTAAACATTGAAAATACAAGCTAATAATATATACACCATATTTTCCACTTATTAGCGCTGTATTAAATATTGATCCCAAAACAGTTTTATGTTATAGATGAAAGTGAGTGAAAGCATGCACTACTTTCTCAGCAATGCAATTTTGCATATTATGCATATTATGTTTACATTTCAAATTATTTTAATATTAATTTTGATTTGCATCACATTGGTTGCATCAGGATTTTTGAATTATGCGATTATAAGTTCTGCAATCAAACTGAGGTTATATGATTAGCCTACAGATACCTAAAATTATGAACAACAGAATTCTATACATCAAATATCCAATTTCAGTAAGTGTCAGATTAAGAAATTGCCACAAAAATGCCAACAATATTTTACAAACTATGATATCTGAAATTTTGTGATTTAAAATATTCTGTGTTATTGTAAACTTAAAACTCACATGTCATGAAATTCAACAATATAATTTCATATTTCCCTTTTCTTTGCCAAACATACAGCAAGGAATAATAAGGTACTTTTCCATTGACATCATATATTCTTGTCCCCGATTTTGGGAAGCAAAAACTGTTACCAAACAGTGCAATTTACTGCCAATAATAGATAAGCGTAATGTCACAACATATGCATTTGCTTTGGTTTTAAGTAACCACAATCAATTCTCAATAAGCCTATTTTGTTTTAGTGAAGAAAGATATAAACTGATTGCTATTTCTCTGAAGATTGAGAAACCCATTAAAATTTCAGACCTGTTTTCTATAGAAAAGCAAGCAGTGGACTATTTTAAAAATTATGGGATTCTTTTCATCACACTCAAAACATCGAAAAACTCTGGGATTTGGCAAGTAAAAATGTGCTGTTGTGTTGGCAAAGATGACTATTCTGTAGCTATTTTAAATGCTATTATTGATTTTTAGCCTCCACTCCAGCCCAACAGAAGTTTTACTGAATGTCAGATAATCAAAATGCTTAAGCTCTTATTTATTTACTAGTTGTAACTAGTATGTGTCAATTATACAAGTAAATTAAGAATGATCTGAGATTATCTAACTAAATAAAGGGATCTATTGCTTCCACCAGAACCGCCAGTGCAAATTTTGGCAGGATCCCTGCCTAATTTTCATTATCAATGAGAAAATACGCAAGTACTGAAAATTTTTTCATCTTTAATTGTTAGCAAGCCAAGAAGTCAAAAGACAAAATGATAAAATAAAAACTATTTAAAATGTAATTTAAAATTAAAGGGGGAAAAATCTGAAAGCTTTCAGATTTTACATTACTCCCAAAGGGACTTTTTTTCAACATTTTGTGAGTTACCTTTATTTATTAAATATAATGTTCTTTGCACTTAAACCATAAAATTCAATTCAACAGCAATATTGCAAAGTAAGTTTAAAATGAGCATATCTGTACAATTTCCGATACACAGTCTTGCACATTGGAGATATTTTTTTTCCCCCTGTACAGTGTTGCCATTGAAATCCTTGAGTTTGTTAATCAAAAATTCGTTAAAGTATTACAAAATATGAAATCGATAATAAAACAAATTCCAAATTAGGGCTTCCAGATGCCCATAATCTGTGGAAGATTACATTATTTAAAATTTGATGGCTTTAAGGTACAGTTTGTTTTATCACAATGCAAGAAACATATACACATTTAAGCAGATTCCTCATTATTTAATTTCTTTAAATATAACACAAGGTGCTAATATTTGGTGGCAACAATTTGAAAAGTGAATTAACGTTTATATAGAGAATCAATGCAAAATGCCAAAATTCAGTTAACAGTGTTTCTGGGAAAATTGTCCCTTTGGACTCTCTCTCTCTATATATAAATATATAAAATGATTATATAAAATAGTAGCTCTTCATAAGAGAACAGACAACATTTTCACACAAACAATAATTTTACATCACTGTTGTCTACTCCTTGATGCAGCTTCAGTTTTATATAACTCTCAAATCTTCTGCTTTAATTGTCGTTTCATCTTTTTAATTTTTTCATTTTGTCCTTTGCCTTCTAAGCCTGTCAAGCATAAATATTAAAAAAATTCTCTTATGAATTATTTGCTTTATCACATTATTTGCAGCAGCATTTGGTGCACAATTAAAAAACATATTTTTAATTTTTGAATTTTCAATATTATTTCACAGATACATATACAGCCAAAAGTCATTAATTCGGACACCCATAATCTGGAATGATCTATAATCCGGACCTCAAAGCTAAAAACTTTCTGCGCATGCGCCACGTTGACACATGCGCATAGGCGTTTATGCGTGCACGTAAGACCTTTACGACTGCGCATATGTGTGTGCGCAAGCGCAGAATACGTTTTCGCATGCGCGTTTTATGTATAACAGACGGTATAAGTTAAAATTATCTAATTATCGATTTCAGTTATGTTGATGATTGCGTTGTTCCTTAACCTTCGAATTGGATCCGTCTTATTATTTTTTGCAGACTGTAAGAGCAATTTTATAAAAGTAAACTTGAACTTTTGATTATGTCAAATAGAATTTCCATGCTGGAGCTCCTAAAGGATCTACAAAACGAAAGTATGTTTCGATGTCTATCAAACAAAAAGTGGAATTGCGGCAATTAATGGATGAAGCCATGAAGAAGGTGACAGAGATGTTAGTGAAAACGAAAAAATTTCGATTGACAAGTTAGTCGGTATTCTCGGCACAGCAATTACGGGACTTGAACAGCGGAACTTTGTAACTGAACAAGAAATTATGTCTGTTTATAGAATTAAAGAGAAAGTATTATCACATAAAACGAAGCAACTTAAATAACTTACATTGAAAGAAATGTTTAATAAAGTAAACAAATAAATATTCAGCTTTTTTTTTTGTAAATTTTGATACCCTTTAGATCATAATTGTTCTTTATTTCATTAATTACGGTTTCATATTTTTAATTTTGTAATTTCTGCATGCCATCTTACCAGATTTAAACTGATTGCTCTATAATCCGGAAAAATCGATATTCGGAATCACCGAAATCCCGACGAGTCCGGATTAACGACTTTTGACTGTATTAAATTACATATGTATAACACACAAAATAGGTTTCATTGGAAAAGTGGTGGTAACATTCAAAGGTTTTTCACATTAGTCTTGGTGCATATAAAATATAAATACTGATTAACAATTTAATCATCATAACTCACTAAACTCTGCTAAAGACAGTAAATGATTAACTTTCAATATCAAAATAGACAAAAATAAATTTAAAAAAAGTTTCTGTAATATAGTATTCAACATAAATGGCACAGAGAAATAAATATTTACATCATTTAATATCACAAATGAAGGCACCTTTCTCTCCAATTGTAAGTGTTTCTTCTGTAGCTGTTTTATCATGGCTTTCATCAAATTCACGCTTAAATATTGATAATAAGCCTGTAATTCTGTAGTCTAGACGTACATTCAAAATGAACTAAGAAAAGGAAATAATTAATTATATGCAAAGTATAATAATAAGTACATCATAAAAATTATTACATTATTTGCTGTATAGGTATTTATCAGTTATCCTAAGCCACATTTTTCTCGTGATATTTTTTTTTGAGGGGGGGGGGGTAAAGAAATATACTTAGTGACACTGTGGTAACTCTACCAAACTCTTGCAAAACATCTATAGCTTATGGTTTTGTACACAGCAAATTCTGTAATCTCCACTTGTTGTCATTATCAATTAAATGTTTAGCCATTGAAATGGAGAAAAAGCGAAACTGATGGATCAAGAGAGAGGAGGAAAAACTACAAATGATGGAAGTTAAAAATGTTTTTTTTATAGGCCAAAAAACCAAAGATAAAAAAACAAATAAGATTACCAAAATGTCATTTGAAATTTTTTATTGGCAAAGATTCTTGGGAGCCAAAAAACTTAACTATGAAAATGTGAGGAGCAACTGATAAGTATCTATGAGTAACTGTATGAATAGTAATACGAATGCATTAAAGATATAAATACATTAAATGGTAAATGTAATTAATTATTGACAGTAATCTAACAAAAAAGAATGAAATACATTTTTGAAAGTTAAAATTTATATATATTGAAGAGCCACAACATTATGACCATCAACTCACTAATGTGTTGACCTTTGGCCTTGCAGAACAGCTGCAACTCACCATGGATGCCATGTTCTTTGTAGGTTATACCAAATGTCTAAGGAGTGATAATGCAAAGTTGAGATATTCCCACATGGTGGTGTTTCGAGGTCTGAGCTGCAGCTCTAAATGTGCTCTATTGGGTTAAGATCTGGCAAGTAAGGTGGCAAGGACATTATTTGGAATTCATCTTTATGTTCCTTGAACCACTCCAACACAATTTGCGCCTTATGACATGGGGATTGTCCTGCTGGAAGATTTCATTTCCAGTTGGGAAGACAGACATCTTGCAAGAGTGCAATTGATCTGCAGTCCTGTTCAGATAGTCCAAGGCTTTCATGGTCTGTTCTATCAAAACTAAAGAGTCTCACAGCCACTCATGAGAATGTTTCCCAAAGCATAATACCACTACCACCAGCTTGTGTATCACCTGTTGTATGGGGTGTTAACTGTTCTCCTGGAAGATGGCATACCTTAACATGACCACTTGATGTGATGAATGAGAAATGATTCATCTGACCAGGCAAGTGTCTTCCACTTGTCCATGGTTTAATCTCCACGTTCACAGGCTCATTCTAGGTGTATTTGACAATGACACTCGGTCAACAGAGGCACATGAGTGAGATGTCTGCTGTGCAGTTGTATATCCAACAGTCTCTGCTGAATTGTGTGTTCCAAAATACTTGCACTTGGACCTGCACTGTATTGGGCTGTCAGCTGAGCCACTGTCTGGCACCAATTCTGCTGTACCAAGCGGGACAGTCTCTGATGTCCTTTTTCTTTGATGAAGCATGGGTGTCCAACACCTTGGCATCTACTGCTGGTTTCAAAACCAATTTATCTACTTTGCATAAATACTAACAACAGCAGATGGTGAAATAACCTACCAGCTTTTCAGTTTTGGAGATACTTGTTCCAATTCTTTCAGCCATTACAATCTGCCTTCTATCAAATTCTCTCAGATCAGCAGCCTTTCCTATCACTCACAAAAGTAAGGGCAAGAATGATTCCTTACCTTTTTCCAGTAGCAGTTAAATACTATTCCCACATAATCACGCACCCACCACATCATCCAGACGAGTTTATTGAAAAATGTAGCCATAATGTTTTGCCTCGTCAGTGTATATAAATCTATACTTCTAGAAAATGCTAGAAAATGATGGATTAGGTTATTTGAGTATGGGAAGGCATAGGGCTGTCTGTCTAACAGTAAAGATGCCTTTACAAGAAAGTGGCTTTATGTTTACATGTGAAAGTCACAAAAACACATCTTGCAGCCAGCCAATCTGCTTGATTTTAAACCCGGATCAAACTACTAGTATTCAATGGTCTTAACCATTTGGCCACTAGTGAGACTCTGAATGACAGCACATTTAATAACACATCATTCAATGAGGATGACAGTTATCAGTCACATCCCTACAGTCTAAAAAATGTATACACGCATATTAACTAGATGTTGTAAAAAGTCAACAAGTCAGATATGTAAAAGAAGTAACACATGTGTATTGAAATTTCAGCCAAAAGCATCTGATTTAAGTCCATGTGAATTTCTTTTTCTTCTTTCCGTTATAAAGATTCTATAGGGCAAGCTAAAATTTCCTCAAAGGTTTTTATATATAAGTTTATGGTATATTAACTGCAACAAATACAGCAAAAATCCCTCCAAATTTGTATGCATTTTAGCAAAGCTTAATTTATGGATCCCTGATGATAGGCAGACATCAGAAGCCAAGTTCTTGCCACACACATTCCAGCAACAGGTTGTGTGATAACTTTTCTACTTGTATATGGTAAAAGGGACATAAATACACAAAATCTTTGAGGTAACTCCACAGAGGAGTGGGTGGGGATATGGAGTTATATCAGGTGAGCATGCAGCATGAAAAAAGAGGAAAATCATTTTGAGAAGCACATCCAAACTAAAGATCGGGAAGTTTGACAATCAGCTAAGTGCAGGCATATTCCTAAAAATCTTAAGAACTCTATATTGTTGAAAAATGAACTCCTTACTGTCTTTCTGATATTGTGGCACTAGCTACTGTTGCAGCAGTAGTTTAGTACAGCAGCAGTACATCCATAAGAGTTTGCTTTGAAAAGAAAAATAGTCCACAGTAGATAAATCTACAATTAAGAAGTCTGTTACAAATGAAAACCCGGAAAAACTCTTTATGTACTGAAATGCATATATTTGCATGTACAAAGTCACAAAAACACACCATGCAGCCAGCCCATTTGCCTGATTTTACACCCGGATCGAACTTAACATGTATAAGTTACAACAATAATATTTGTTATAGTTATTGCAAAATAAACTTATGAAATCCAGAAGAAACTATGAATCACCTTATATTCATATTCTGCCTTTGTTGTATGATGACTAGGAATTACTAAGTGGGAATTATATAGAAACTATCCCCCATTGGATTACTAAATGCACATTTATTAAGTCACACTTGGTTTCTGCACAGAATGTCTGCAAGGTGAAGCACTGTAAAATGAACTTATGCTTACATATCCCCCCCCCCAAGATGGTGTGGATTAAATATCTAGCCTATTTTTTGTATAATATAATTTTAAAAAAAATTCTCACAATTTATTATCAAACTAAATTTTGCTTGAAATGCTTAGTACATAGAGTCCTTATATCAGAATAGAGAGCTGTCCCTATTCGATGTACGTTGGCTGTAAGATCTTCATCCTCCTACAGATATAGTTACTCTTATTGTTTTGTGTCAGAGAAATCACAATGCTTAGAAGTTAATAAGTAATTATAAAATTCCAGATAATGTTTATGAAATGATCTTCAGATAATGTTTGAATGAACATGATTATTTAAAATTTTCAGGGCTTACTTCACAGAACATGATATACTAAACACTGCTTTTAGTAATTTAAATAAAACTGCTATAAAGAAGCTACAAATGCTAACTGATCCATTAACATTTTATGAAAAATATTAACAAATTCATATTCAAACAGAAAATTTAGAAAAGTATACAAAATTAAGGCAGAAGTAATGGTTTAAAACACAAAAATTTTAAATAACTAACCTGTAGAATTTCAATAATTTTCAATTTGGTATCCATTACCAATGTATCTTCAGCTCCAGTTATTGAGGCTTTCTTCTGAATGGTTGCTGCAACCTGTTTAGTCATTCCAGCTGTTCCAAGAACCATATTAGTCATTACAGCCCCCATATCTCCAATGGATTTTAAAACTCCACCTCTAGCTGCAACAAATCAGCAAGTAAATAGTGTTCCAGCCTGATTATTATATTAGATGATAAATATAACACTTTTTGATTACATAATTCATAAAAAAATGATAAAAACTACACTCTGATTTTCTAAAATGTTGATATTATTGGGAAGTTATATCTACAAAATTATGCTAATAATGTTTTCAGATTAACTTCAGAAGCAAAGTATTCTGTAACTTACTATTTATCTATAATAATAAAAGAAAAAATGTGTCTGTCCTTTATACTGCATAGAAAATAAGTTCCAGAGCTATAAAACATGACATACAGATTCTACAAGAAAAGGGAAGGTCAGACTGCATCTTTAAAATGACTTTTTTTTAAAACACAGATTTCTTTTAACTTAACGATTAAATGATTTTTTACAGTTTCTCTTTGTAGGTACTTCATTTAACAATCCCACTAATTATTTCAGTGTCTGAAACATTGCGAGACAGATAAAAAAATTATCTTCTAAATGAATCTTCAAAATTTATTTTAAATCTCAAACATAATTTACCAGCTTATTAAAACTGAATTTTCTTTATTACTACAATCTCTTTTAAAATTTTGATATCAAGAAATATACTACTTATAATGCTAGATATAATGCAAAAAGGAACTTTCTCTCTTTTAAAATAAGAATGGTTCAAATAAAAATGAATTAGACAATTTTCAATATATTTTAAAAGTAGATCACCATACAATTTCACATAGCTAGTTAAGAGCTGTTGGAAGTTTTGTTCCTTAATCATGTGGCCTAACTTATAAATGGCATGATGACATAACTATTTATTGCTATGCTGAGCATTCCTCCCTCGTTTTGTTTATTTATTTATTTTACATTTATGGACTTTAACAACTTGCATTAGTCTTTTAGAAATAGTTTACTTTCTCCTATATGCAGAATTACATCACTAGTAAAAAATAAAACATTTCCAAAATAATAATAAAATTGCTTTAAAAAAATGAAGATATTTTTCCTTTAGATAATTATTCCTAAAAATTAGAAAACTTTAATATATGATAAAACTATGAGAAAACTTATTATGAAAACTTGATTTAAGACGCAAAATATAAAAATAGCTAATTAACATTATAAAGACTTTCTGATTATCAAAGATTTTATTGATACGGTCTAAATATTTCAATGTTGCCTTAAATTTACAAGTAGTTAAAAAAAAAAGGGGGGGAAGGAAAGAAGAATTTTACCTTTTTTTAAAGAAAAATCCACGATTTCATTAATAAAACCAATATGCCACTACACTTAAAATATCAAAAATCATGCCAGCTTTATTTGAAAATGAGTATGGTTGCTCTGAATGGCACATATTTGAAACATATATAGAGAATCTTATCTAATGCAATAACATGGTGATTATTAAGACGCTTTCCTTAGAATTTTAGGTAATATGATAGGCTAAAATTTTACTGTAAATATGCCATAAATATAGTAAAGACATTATACAGTAGAATTCTGATAATATGCGACTGCTTTTTCCATAAATGCAGGTAATCCAATATAGTATTTTAATGTTAAGAAAGTTTTGGGTAATAATTAAGACACAATAAAGTATTTGTGCTTTTGCAACTGAGGATGGTAGTTCAGTAAAACCATCGAAACTAGTCCCGTGAAAATTTGAAAATATAACGCTGATTTTTGTTGTTTGACTTCTGAATTAGAAAGTTTTGGTTTTTAGAAAATTCAGTATGATAAAATTTAATGCTAATTTTCTCTTATATAAATATGCAAATAAATAAACTGCATTTATAGCATTTGATTGGAAAAGTAAATTCATTTTATTATGGAAGTAATTTAGTACTTACTAAGTTTTGAGTGTGTATGCTAGATTGGTGTGGAATGAAAGTTAGAAATTAGTTTTAAATGTATGTAGTTTTGAATTAATTGCTTTATTAATTATCGAAAGAATAATCTTGTAACATGAATTGTACAGATGATAGTTCTGCAAATCAAAAGAAAAGTGCAAATTTGTTGGCTGAGCTTTCAGATGATTAACCGAATAATTTCAGTAATGATGGTGACAAAACGGAGGAATTTCCCACCTCCCAAAGATGCCCATAATATTTTAGATGTTAAATGCTACATGTAGGACATAGGCTATTTATGAATAATACCGTATATACCCGCATATAAGTCGAGATATTTTGGACAAAAAAACGACTTCAAAGTGGGGGGTCGACTTATACGCGGAGCCATAAAAAATTAAAAGAATCGGAAGTTAAAAAATTTCTTTATATAATGCAGTTGTTTTCTTCCCGCACTCAAATTGGACAACTTATCAAATAAGTCACTTACTTGAAGTAATTTCATGACTTAAATTATGTGACACAGAGTTTTTAACTAGTGTAAATCACAGAGTTTTTAACTAGTGTAGTGTAAGTTCCGATTAAACCAAAGAATTTTCGGCCCCCAAACAACTGATCAATATCGAGCAATAAAAAAGTTTCGCCAACACGCCAAGAAAAGAGAAATGCAGATAGTTTTTACGTACGTATAAGTCTTTAATAGTTATTTCCATTCATGAAATACTTTTGTTAACAGGCGTACACGTCAAAATTAAAAAAAATAGCCCATGCAATAACTGAACAGTTTTGAATATTTCTTTTAACTTTTAAAAAGGGGAAATGCAGATAGATTTTAAGTACGCGAATCTTTTCCGGAACAAATTCTAGAAGAAGGATTTTGATTTTGTTTATTTACCAAGATATTTTTTATCGTATATTTACTTTTTTTTCTCAGATGATTTTGAATAAATGTAGTACTTAAAAAAAATTTTTCAAAGTTTCTCGATCGATTTCGGAAGTGTGTGTGTGGGGGGGTTGACTTATACACGGTATCGACTTATACGCCGGTATATATGGTAATTATAATAGTTATGAACTAGAGAAATGTCTTGCTGAAAACACATTGCACTGGACAATCAGAAAGAACAAGAAGGCATTTCTGAAAGAGATTAGCTTTCCTCCACCCCAAAAAAACTAAAGTAAGGGCTGACTTAGCAAAGTCTTCTAATGGTGTAATGATTGCTAAGTGGAAGCATACAAGAGACATCACTTATATTTCTAATGAATACAAAAATTATATTGTAGAAATGAGCAATAAAAAAGGAAAAATGAAATTGAAACCCCTTCCTGTACTTCAATAAATGAATTTATGGCAGGCATTGATAAGCAAGATCAAATGCTTGTCTACTATCCATGTCAAAGGTATACCATTAGGTGACCTACCAAAATATTTTTGCATATTTTGCAAATAATGATCATGAATTCCCCCTTTATAATAAATATTATAATGGAAATATTACACTTTATGACTTTCGTTTATCGGCGACCAGAACTTTATTGAAACATTCCTTCATGTTTCAATAAACTGACCATCTGACCTTCATTCTCCAACATACAATCAATCTGAACCAGAATATGCACTCAAACCATGAGAGGAAAAGAAAGGTGGGAAGCATGTAGCGCAAAAATTGTTATTCCCAAGGAATTCTACGGCTCAATGATACAGCAAAGAGCTTCAATACAAAGACTACGTAGACAAATTTCATAATTTCATTTAAAATTTAATTAACTTTAAATTTGCTTTTTACGAATAGAGAATGTTTGTTAAATTTAAAGACACCATCTATACCTGCAAAGTCTGCGAAGAATCTCCCAACAATTGTTTAGATTGTGCAAAAATAATATACAAAAAAAATATTTTGAAATATATAGTTTGTAATGATATTGTAATTAACTCGCAATAAATTCCTTTGTAATACACATATTTGTTTGTGATGCAGTTTTATACAAAAATAATGCATATTGTTCCTATTTTGATTCACTTTTAAATGCCATGTGCCAGCATGTTATGATGCATGGAGAAATAATTTTATTTCTAGTCCCAATTACAGACAGGCAAGTCCTTCTTAATCATAAAATTCTATGACTAAAGGCCTAACAATCAGTGTGATAGACATGATCATTGTTTATTACTTCTTTTAAATCATATTTCTTATAATATGTCAACATTTTGGTACAATATACATGTACATCAAGGAAATAACTATTAACGCAACCTCAAATGATCAGCAGCGAAAATGTTAAAATAATTTTGAGTTTATGTAGTTAGCAAGTGTAAATTATTTACGTGTCCATAATTTTTTAAACACCATGTATTTTGTGCTGGTTTGTTTACATTCCACATAATGAGGAAACTTATTTATATTGGTCTTAAACAGAGACAGATTATAAAACAAAATTGTAATTTTTATCTAATCTCTCCAGTCAAAAATGAAAAACATAATTAAAAAAAAAGTGGTTAAGAACAATTATTAATCCAACATTTTAATTCTAGCATTTTTGAGTTTACAGTTTTAATAACCCAACTGCGCACTGCACACACACACACAAATGGCAGTTCTACATCTCCAGTTTTACTGGGCCAATTGACGAAATTCAACTTGAGTTTTTCATGTCTCCAAATTGCGAATTAGGAAATATATTAGATTTATATATAGCATTGTTCTAATATTGGTATTTTGACACAAAATCGGACTTTTTCTGAAATAACATACCATTTTTTTTCTATATTTCAATTCTACGACTCAAATTACGTCAAACTACCAAGTTTTGTAAAAATAGCACAAGTAGTTTTTTAAAAATTAGCTCTCAAAATTTTAGCTTTTTAAAAATTTGTATTTTTAAATAATTTTTATAAATTTTTCAAAAAAAATTGAATTATAAGCTATAAAATTTTTGACACCATCTTAAAGTATATGTATTCCTAAGCATACCTGCAAAAAATTAAGAGTTTTTTATTCCAAATTTTTTAAGATATATTTGAATTTACATTTTGCCACGTTTTGAAATTTGGTGTATTTATTATAAGTGATAATAATGAAAATGTGGTTTGCGCACTTTGTTAAAATCATTTGGAAGTAGAAACGATGTGACATTTTTTCCCGCTCATACACAATGTAAAAAGGTAGGAGTGAGATGCCTTTTTTCTCGCTCTGGCATAATGGAAGGGAAAGGAAAATTGGTTGCCATATATTAAGAAGTTCGCCAAGTAACTTATTCTTGGTGAAACTGAAAAAATTTCGCGAAGATAAATTTTTGAATTTCTTTGGAATTTCGTACCAGATTTTACAAAATTTAGCATCTGGGCATAATTTGAGTTGTAGAATCAAAATATAGGAAATATATGGTGGAATTAGCATAGAAAATAAGGAAAATTTACTCCAGGGAATGTGATAAATAATTTATCTATTTTTTTCTTTCATTTATTAGTATAAAATTACTTTGAAAGTAAAGTAATTTTTCTGGTAAATATACCAATTTCTTGCATAAAATATTCTGATGCAATTTTATAAAAGAATTATTTACTTTCTTAAAACCCCTTTGCGCCGACTGTCACGTCTACGTGCCAACAACGAACACACTCACTTCCCGGCCGACACACAGGTGTGCCAGAGCATTTTCCCGTTCTGCCCCGACTGTCACGTATTTGTGCCAGTGTCCTGGAACGTTTTAAAAACTATAATTTCTGCCACAAGCTGGCACTGTATGTCCATATGGTTTCAGATACATGTACATTAGACCTTCTGCTCGAAATGAAAGAAGCATGACTCACATACATGTGTTTTTGATTTTACAAACAAAAGGGGAAATAAATGTTTCCGAATGGCGTGATTTATAACGTCTCTTTAAATTCACACGTGGTAGTTGTTTATTGTAAGTAGAGAAATTTTATTTTCGCTAAAGCGTTGGGTATTTCGGTTTGCAGTTAAGTTTTTAGAAAATAATTAGATCTTGTTAGACGTGAATTCTTTCTGTTTTTACCGTTGCAATGTCGAAGCGTCGAAAGTGTTTAACAGAGCATGAAATAGCAGAAATGATGCAAAATATTTCAGATATTGATTTTAAATATATCACACCAAGATCAGCAGAATCATTAAATCCGCTCAGATTAACTGAAAACTTTGTTCAGAAGAGACTGATAAGAAAATGAGACGACAATGCTTCGTTTGTTCACATCCCCGGAAAAATCCTCCAAAACGGCAAAATGAGTTATTACGAGTGCAAAGAATGTAATGTAGGACTGTGTGTAGATCCCTGCTTTCAAATTTTTCATACGAAAAGAGAATTTTAAGTAATATATTTAGTTTTCAGATGTATAATGTTAAAAGTCATAAAATGGTGGAGTAATGAAAATAAAATAAAATGTGAAAATATGCATTTAAACAAGAGGATAAGGTAATTAAAGTATATATAAAAATATCTATAAAGCATAAGCTGTTTAAATACTCTATAGAGCATTATTAAACAATGCGTTGATTCTTCGGAAATTTCATGGATTTAGGCTTAATAGCAAAAAAGCCCAGGTCCTGGACAGACGCTCACATAAGACACTGCCGACCTCCGCGATAAGCGCGCGTTTGCACTACCCGGCGCGAAGGGGTTAAATTGTTTCTCTTTTATTTATCCCATTATCTCCTACATTTACACCTTTTACTGGCATTATTTTTTTTTGTATATAATTATATTATGTATATAATTATATTTGAAATTTATTTTTGTATTTGAAAAATATAATAATTCTGTATTTTATAAGTCTTGATTATGTAATTATTAAATTTTTAATAGTTATTATGTGCAAAAAGTCCAAATTTTATGTAAAAGTTTAAGGAAGAGAAATGTAAATAAGACTCAAAACATGACCTAAAAATTTTTCAAATTATGAAATTCTCGCACAATCATTGGTCCCTAGTATACACATTATCAGAATTTTACTATAATTAACAAAGGATATGACATTCTATTGTCAGCACACAGCAAAATATTAAACAAGTACATTAACAAGCCAAACATGTAAATCATGCTAGAATTGCAATATTAAAATCAATAGGCAGATACCATGCATGTATTAAAAAAACAGCCATAATTATTTAAAAAAAAACTGTTTTTGTTTGAACAAAATTACATATATAGTTGTAACTTCATAAAATGACAAATTCTGCACCCCCTTATACAATTTGGAAAATAGTAAAAGCAATAGTCCTGTAAAAAATTAAAGACCATAATATGACAGACTGAATCATTCTAAATATTTTCATGAAAAATGCAAAAACAAATGTATAATGCCAATTTACAGAATTCTGTACTACTAATATTGATTGCAGTTGCTATGATTTTGCTTCAATTTACATCAATACTGAAAAATTAAATTTGTTTTCTGTATTAAACTTTGGTGCACTTTCATTGTACAGTAGATTTTTCAGTTTTGTGAACTTAAGAGGATCTGAAAATGGGAACAACATTAAAAAGACAGAGGAATTAAGAGATCATTGCTGTTGTTTGCAAAAATATATAGTTAATAAAATGAAAGTTTCTAAAAACAAAATTTCACCGTATTAGGAAAAAAAATCGATGCTTAACATTATTTAATAATCTCTAAATGTCCTCATTCTTTCAGTTTCTTCAATTTTCTATTGTGTGCAGAGAAGTTTCTTTCTGGAAAACAATTGCTTTAATTCAGGTAATATATAAGACCGCCTTTATCCCATAAAAACAATAACAGTTTTTTTAAATACAAAATGTAAAGCTTTAAGCACTAAATCAAAGATTTTTTTTCAGCTTACATGCATCAATACGCAGAATTAAATCAAACTCCTAAAGGAAATTATGGTATAGCATTATAGTACTTGTTTCTACTAAGTACAACTAAATTTTCTATGTATGCTGGATTAATATGTTATTTACAATATACGAGCAAGTTTTTTTTTTTTTTTGGAAGCAGGAAACATAAAAAATCTACTTGCCAGGATTTGAACACCAAATCTTACAATTACCAGCTGGATAGGCTACCAGTTTTACCACAAGAGCACATATGAAAAACTGCAAATGATTACTTACATTCTTCCTTATTTAAAGGGTAATTGAAGAAAGAATGAAACCTAATAAATCCAATCCAGATGGTGCCGGTTACTGTTCACAAGATTTTTAGTATCTATTTTATTATTTTTATTATTATTTAAGTGGGAAAAGTGAAAAATTAACTATGCCCTCAATGGGATACCTGTAGACCTTTCAATGGTTAACTGAACATGCTAAACATTAAGCAACGTGAGCACATACGAAGGGATGTGATAATTCTTCATAACAATACTTTTTATTGCATATTATTGTTATCTTACCGTTACTGCATGCTCTTATGTTTCAATTTATTTCCAAATCTAGCAATTTACAATTTCATTCAGATATTTTGTGGTACTTATTTACAATAACATACTGTTACAAAATGTCAGGCACGGTATCCCCACAAAGCAGGTTTAGGGTTGCCATAAAATGGCAAAGGAAGGCAGGGTTGTGCCACATTTGGTGAGAAATCGCCCATTTGGCGACAAAATTGGCGATATGCCATGGACGGATGGAGAACCTTCTGGAACAAATTCTTACCGGTTTAGCCCAGAATGTTCTCGAACACAATCCAAAAGCTATATAAAAACCTGCTGGTATGCGAAGAGTTAGTTAGCCCGTGCTGAGTCGATCGAGTTGACAGCCGGTCAGCGAGTGCAGAGTGGGTCATCGATAGCACCAAAAGAGTCTCCTACTGTATTGCAGTTAGGGCATCGTCGAGAGAGTATGTTGAGCTCTGGGAACGACTGAACCAAAGAGTCGGGAGCTGTACTCTAGGGTATCGTCGAGTGCATCACGAGTTGTAACGCGGAGAGTCTCGAGAGTACGTTGAGTTCCGAGAATGACCGAGCAGTGTCGGGAGCTCTGGTGCTTTGCAGTGAAGCTGTCTCCAGTGTTATAGCCTGATATTGTGAAGGCTGTGTCGCTGAGTGCAACAGCGTGTCTATAGTTCTTCACGACTTTAAACGTGATATCGACTATCGTAAACATGGTTATTGGAGATGTCTTGGATAATACTGGCCAATAAAGCGTGTTTCAATCAAGTAGTGTGTCATTGTTATTCACTCCAAATCCTCACGAACCTGTAACGAACGTACCAAAGGAAGAAAATAACGTAACAACTGGTGTCAGAAAGTAATGTAACAATACATAATTTTTTTTTTTTTTCATTTAGAAATGTAAATTACTTTCTAACAAGTTATTACGTTATAACTCTTAATTTGTTTTTGACATACACACAGAAATAAAGTTTATAGTGTGTTATTCAAAAGTGAAGCCCTTCTTAGACTCATGTTCTACTATACTATTTTTAATATAAAATTTATCACAGAACAATTTAAAAAACTTTAATTCTATTTTTTAAATATCACCTGATTTTACTTCCTTTTTCTCTTCACTTGCCTGATTCTCATCCTCCTTAGCAGCTTGCAATGCAATATTAAAATAAGCACACTTTTAAGCATATACAGTTATCAACTACTTAAAAAATAATATAAGTTTGGCTGTAAATATCCTTTTCCCATTGCTTCACTTTAATAAAACATACAAAAGTTTAACACAGTTTTTCTGATTTATAATTTTTCAATACTTGTTCTTACCTCAGTCAGAACTTAATATCATTATAATAAAAGAATTTTTGCATAGATATAAAGAGAATAAAAACTGCATTACTAAAATCCTAAAATAATAAAGGTAAGCTGCTTGCATTCAAGATGATATAAGATTGAATTTTATGTATATTTACAATTTAGCCTAACGAAAAGTAATTAAAATATATTTTAATTATTATATCAGAATAAATTTTTACTGCCCTGTTAATAATTGAATACAATGACAAGCAAATAATAAAACATAGAAAAAATTGAACCAAATTTACAATTTTACATGAAAGAAATATTCATTCATATAAGAGTTTATAACTGATGCAAGATTATAAATTCAGATTATTATTCATGTAAGAATCAATCAGTGACATAATCAAATAATGAAACATATAGTATAATCTTATGAATTAAGTAGGGATATACCATCCAATTCAGCTGCTGTTAATTTGCTGTTTAGAAAACTTGATTCAGGAACACAATCCAAAATGCTCAGCAGTGTCTTTGTTAAACGCAAGAGATCACAAAAACTATAGAATCCAAAATAGATCAACTCTCTAGCTAATTTTACCACCTGCAAAATAATAAATACATATTTACAGTCAATGCTTAAACATAAAAAAGCAGTTCTTACACTTATGCAAAATAACATATTTTATTTATGAAGGTCTACAGTACGGATCAAAGTTCGAAACGTGAACATCCGACATCTGGAATGATCTAAAATCCAACTTCTATACTCCAGCAACTTTTATTTTGGATGCTTTATGCATGTGCATTTGATATTTTTTCATAATACAACATGTGGAAAGTCCCGATTCCTAATTCACTTTGGCATTAAATAAAATAACTCCAGATTGAAAAAATAATTAATGAATTAGCATAAATTTGTATGATCAATTTTTTTTTTTCTTTTTTTGGTAGCTGACTTTTTGCTTGGTATAGATCTAACTGAAGCACTGTTGATCTTACACTCACTGATAATTTATATGCCTGACACTAAACTCATGAATCATTATCTGATATCTTTTTCCTTTTATGGCCACATGACCAACAAAGCATGGCAACTGGAGAAATAACTCTGCAGTGATGTCTAAACGTTTTCTTAAAATATTAGTAACTGAATACCAAAGAATATGGTAATCTTTTATGCCGATATTACATCTGGCAATGATTAGAGACTTCAGCTAATTCTGCTGTGAAGTACTGAGAGTGTTGATGAAGAGAAATTCAATAGAAATTCTTCCCATATGCAAAAAATATATTTTGTAATCGATAATCATAGATCAAAAGATTATATTTTGCAGTAGAAAAAGGATATTTGAACAAAATTTATATTGTCAGTGTTTGAATTCTGAATAATTAATTAAGTTACTCAGATAAGCTTAGTAGAGGCACCAAAGCTGGTAAAGCCTCAAACTAAAATTTACTATCTATCTACCTGCCAGTGAGGCAAAATCTACCTGCCAGTGAGGCAAAATTTTTAGAATTTAGAGAAGCACTGAGCAACAAAATTATTGAAAAACCTTTAGAAATTAGGGAAGGCACACAGATGCAAAATTTTTAGAATTTAGAGAGGGACTTGGCAGCAGAATACAGGGCCTGCAGAGACTTCACCAGGCTGCAAAATGTCTAGCATCGACCCTAAATAAGCTTAGATATATGTAAGAATTTATACGGTAATCACAAAAATACTTTCCCAATATATGAATCCCTATTGGTCTATTTGCTAATTCAACCGAAATGAAAAATATTTGAAGGTATGCCTGCTCGAGATTGTGATGCTCTCATGGTTACAGTTACAGCAAAAAAATTTCAAAATTTTCAAATAGCAACTCCCGCTTTTTTCCTTGCACAAATTGATCAGTGCATTGAAAAACTATAAATGGGCACAAATTGACCAGTGCATTGAAAAAATATAAATGGGCACAAATTGACCAGTGCATTGAAAAAATATAAATGGGCACAAATTGATCAGTGCATTGAAAAACTATAAATGGTGTTGGAACAATGCACATATGATGAAAACTGCCGGCGTAAAACATTTGCAAAAAAAGCACTGTAAAGAGCCAATGACAGTACAAGAGAGAAGAAGAAAAAAAAAAAAAACTTCTATTAGAATTACTGAATTACAGATGATAACACATTGTATGAAGGAGATTATTGACAACAATGGACAAACTTAACATCACAGGAGGAATCTATATAACTTCATGTTTTACGGCATTTTTCAATTCTGACAAATGACAAGAATTTGATGTACAATGCCTTCAATTTTATATAACTTCAGAACCAGAAATCCATCAAAGTGAGATCGGGGGATCACAGTGCCCAAAAAATGGTAAAGTTACGGAAGTTGACTGTATCTTGAAATGTTGTACACACTAAAAATTTGTAATTCTGAACACTCGCTCTTTACAATTCTCTTGTTTGTAAATGTTTTATGATGACAATTTTTGCCATATGTGTAATGTTCCAACACCATTTATGGTTTTTCAGTGCACTGATCAATTTATGCAATGAAAATCTGGGAGCTGTCATTCGAAAATTTTGAAATTTTTTTCACTGTAGCCATAACAATGAAAGTTCTACTGTTTTAAAATCATCACGATCTCAAGCACATACTTTTAAATAATAATATCTGAAATTTCATTTCAGTTGGTTGAGATGATAGGCCACTAGGGGTTTATATATCAAGGAAGTTTTTTATGACTACCCTGTATTTATTTGGGAATTAGATAAGCTTTAAGCACATGCAGAAAATAGTTGTAAGTATAATAAGTAACTAATATAATTTAGGCTTAACATCATCAACATGTATAGAGACAAGAAAAACTTTAGTGGAACAATATATCTTGAGTCACCATTCCTATAATACATTGGGGCCCACCAGTGGCCGAGTGGTAAAGTCGCTGAACACTGTTCAGTCTGAGGTTCGAATTCCACGAATGTGCTGGCTGCAAGGGCGCTTTCGTGGTTTTCCCCAAGGAAAACCACGTGGTTGCAAGGGCGTTTTCGTGTAACATGTATATGAGTCAGTTACCCTTAGAAAGTCCTCCACAAAGGCATCCCTCCCCTTAGGCAGATAGCCCTAGTGTGCTTTGCCATAATTAAATAAACCAAACCAAACCTATAATACACTGACAGTAGTGTATAGCAGGCACTAACTAAGCTTTACGATGACAGCTGTAAATTATAAGGTTTTTTTTTCAGTTATTACAAACAAAAAACGAATTTTTCCAATTAATGGAATTTAGAAGGAAATGTGGACAAGTAGTAATAAATGAAGATGATGTAACAGAAGTTTTCATTGTGATGCCAATGCCACAATCATCAATGAACTAATGCATGGCGAAATCTGCTGTATGGTTTTAAATGAAGGAAATATTGCTACTAACAGCAAAGAACATGACAAAGAGGCTTTTAAGAATGAAACAATTTTAGCTGCCAATTTAGTACGAAATATCGGCACAGCAACTTTAGAACTTGAAAAATGGAATTTTGTAACTGAATAAGAAATTATGTCTATCTATAAAATTAAAGAGAAAGTGTTAGTACAAAAAACGAAGCAACTTAAACAACTTACATTGAAAGTAATAAAAAAAAAAAAAAAAAAAAAAAATATTACTGAGCTTTTTTTTTTTTTTTTTTTTTTTTGTGTGTGTGTGTGTGTGTGTGTGTGTGTGAATTTTGAATCCCTTAATCTTTTAATAATCAAATGCTTCATTATTTCATAAACCAGTAATTCCTATTTTTAATTTTATAATTTCTATATGTCATCTTATTAAATTTCATCTAATGATCTAATATCTGGAAAATTCTCAAACTAACTTTCTACTATTTCATTTTTGCTGCATTAATTATATAATAAAAACAGAAACAAACCAAAATAAATAAATAAGTAAAAAATTTCAAAAAAAATCAAGATTTTAATTTAGTAGAAGTGTTGCATTCTGGGCATTTAAACGTAATACATTGCCAATGGATTAAAAGACATTTATCTGCTATTATACCAGACTAAAAGTCTATTAAGGAATCACTAATAAATAGTGCCAGAAGAAAAGTAATACCTCAAATGTAAGCTTATTCTGTTCCCTATCAGCAAAGGACCACATGTGTCCAACAACATTACACAAGTAATCTTCCACAAAAGCAATTGTAGGTGCAAATTTAGCTCTCACAGCTTCTTTGTTAGGATCAGGATGTTTATTTGCATCATAACTATCAAAACAGAAAAGTAGAACATAAATTATGCTGCTTAAAACAGACAAATAAGTAATACATGACAAGAAAAGGTACATAAAATCAGCACTGCTGATTCCTGAACATTATCACTCACTCTTGAATTGATAGTTTCCGAGTAATATCAGACCATAATCGTGCATACTTTACAGGTGTTATCTGCTCTTGAGGATCTCTGTCAACATGCATATGCAACATTAAGCGACAAAAAGCAGCTCTTAAATCAAAGGGTAAGTGTTCATCTGCCATGCATCTACCATAAACAGAGAAAAAAAAATGACATTTAAATGTATTGCCTTTATACACAGCTACACATAAATTAGAATTCAAATTCATAAAATGAGTTTTCCAAAAAGTATTTTATATACAACAAAAATAAGAAACCAATTAATTACTTTTGAATTAGATCAATATCCAGGTGAGGAGAGAGATTGTTGATTGCTAAATACTGACGATCAAGACACATTCCTGAGAAAAGATCTAGCTGGTGCCTGGGAAAGGGGACAGGCATTAAAAAATCTATATATATATTCTATTTGCTAACTATAGCTGAAAAGCTAAACATATATTTAAAAAAATAGGATACTTATAAATATATAAAATACATGAACTCTTGCTGTATAGCACTAAAATTTCAAACGATTTTTCTGTTAAACCTTTATACTAATCATTTTATTAAGAAATTTATTACAAATTTATAATGGAAATAAAAAATCTTATGCATAAATGGAAATTCACCTATAATATGAGAGAATAGATTGGTCATCTTTACTCCCCTCTGCAGCACCAGCTGCAAGTTCTCGAACGCTCTTACTTTTCCTACCGTTATCCCAAAATAGGACAACATCTTCCTCTTCTTCAATTGTCACCATAGGTTCAACTTCTCCATTTGTACCTTCAACTTCAACTTCAACTTCCATCTGTGTTCTTACCATTCTACATTCAGAGTAAAAGCCATTAAAAAATTCTCATAGATATCTGGTGATATTCATCATATTAACAATTTGATAAAGGAATTAAAAAAAGTAAAATTATTCAGCTGATGTAAGATAAGGATATATTTTGTTATGTTTTAAATGAAACTAAAATATTTTTATTAACGTTTTGAAAAAATTTAAATAAAAATATTAAAAATTGATTTTTAGCATTAAAATCTAAAATAAAAATTTAATGTATCAATTAACATACATGCAGATCAATGAATTAAACATTACAGTCAACTTTTAAAATAAAGCAAGAAAGCAAACTTTGATTAGTACAAATTTTGAATTAAAAAAAAAAAAAAAAAATGAGGACATTTGGATGTAGGTCCCTCTTTTTCAAAAGCAGTACTAGAGAAATACTGGGAACTATATCAGTATTTAACCCCCAAATCATGATTAATCTGGGTTCATGTAGGGGATAAGGAGGAAGAATAACCCAAACTATAATTAAAAGAAAAATACTCTTTAAGATTTGCTTATATTTTCAAGCAGTTTAATCTAGAGAAAAAGTTAATTTGGTAAAATAATTTAAGTAAATATTTAAAGAACACATTATAAATAACAAAAGAATAAAAACATTACAACTGAAAAAACTAAATCAGAAATGCTTTTAAAGAAGAATATCTGAACAGAGAATTTCAACAATGTCACAGACTTCAAACTTGCATAAAAAAAGGCTGTATATTTCCTTTTTTATTCTATTTTCCTTATATAATTCAGATTCTGTACAATTAAGCTGCACACTGTTGAGGATTAAAATTTTGACATCACCTGCTATCACTGATGCTACCCCCACATTCATCCCCCTTTTTATATTTCCCATAGATAATTTTATTTTAAGGTGATGGCTTGTGATCATAATTTTTCCTTTGTTCTGCAATTAAAAAAAATTAATCTTTTCTCTAGACATAGTTCTCAGCTAACCTACTTGCAACTAATTTCAAGTTCACTGCAAAATATTAGTGAAGTGATAATTTCAATGAGAAATCAAACTAATTAACTTGAGAAAACAGAAACTGTTAAATGTCTTGTTACATACAACAGACACAATATTATATAATTACTTGGGGGTTTACTTCTTCATGTAGTAGAGCTACTTTAAGTTGTATGTTGATCGTATCAATCACATATTTTTATTAAACCAAAAATACTACAGAATATGTCTTGCAATAATATATATATATATATGTTAATTTAATATTATATCACTTAAAATTTCTTGAAATTAGTTCATTAAACAATTTTGCAGCTAGAATAACGCCTAGCTCAAATGTAAGAATACACACATATGAATATGAAATTCAAAATGTTATTTTTGATATATTTTTCTGTAAAATATTTACACCCTTTAAATATAATTCAAATTAATCAGAAAAAACTAACAATGTTCATGCAAAGCAACAAAACATCCAAACCAATTTCCACCAGTAAAACTATCAGAAATATGTATATGTCCTGTACATTGAAGCAGCACATATTTATATCATAAAGCATCATAAATAATGGAAATATATGCTCATCAGAGAGGCGGTGATAATTAATAATTATAATAAACTTTGTTGTGGGTTGCAATATAATACATTTTACAGATAAATTTAACACAATTTTTACTGGATTGTACAAATTACAGCTTGGATCCCCTCTCCCATTTTAAGTATGAAACAGCGAAATAACTTTTCTGATAGCTATTTCAAACATGTTAACAGAAACTAAATTAAAGCAAACAAAATCTAGTTCTCTGCAGATTTAATCAAATTAAATTTTTAATTGAAGTTTTTATATAAGTATTTACATATAAAATGAAAAAATTCCAGATTATTCTCAAAATAAAATTAGCACAGTCTGAAATAAAAACTGCTACACAATTTAAAAACAACATAACGTGCAAAACACAATTACTCTTATCTCTCAATAAATAAAGTTATAACTAATGATTCTACCAACCTAGTTTCAATAAGAATATCAGAATTTTTTGGACTAAGAACTGCCTTGCATATTAATTCTTGGGTTATTGGAATGGCAACTTTATTTGATATGCAAAGATCTGATAGGTAATCAAGAAACCTAAAAGATGTTACAACTTTTTAATACATATACAAAAGTGACAGATAAATACATATACTTTACATATATAAGTACAGATGTGTATATATAAGAACTGATATATCTGTAATAATTGCAAAATACCAAAATGAAGAAAAAGTGTATAATTTTAAATTATATTCCAATTTATAAACTTTTACTAAAGGACAAAACTTTATTTTAACCTCTCCAGACATGTTTAGATATATACAAATGACAGACGGAGAGCAAAATAAAGAAATGATATTAAAAATAAATAGAAAAGTCTAATTTTTACATACAAAACTTGCACACATCAGTTGGAGGTAACTGAAGATTACAATTTGATGACAGTTATGGATTATGATTTGATGAGAGTAAAGTTCCACTATCAGTTATAATGCAAGATCATATCCTGTGTTAATATGCATCTCATTAAAATTCTGATTTTAAATTATACACTATCAATAACTGTTGGTACCTTTACATTTTTGAGATGCAAACAGTTAAAATTTTACAGATATTTTGAAACATTTTTTACTTCCATTTACTGAAAAATAATTAGTCAATGAGCTATTTGTGTTTTCAGATAAGTATTCAACTGTTAAGCAATGATTAAGAGGATATAACATGGAAGTTAAATCTTTTTATCATATCTCTGTGCAGTCTTTGAACAATGCAGATTTTAATCTCATAAAGTAATTTTTCAATATTTATTAAGGAAATTGAGCTAAGGAGAACCTAAAGACAAAAGGAATGTTAAGAATAATAATATCATCTGGAACCATGAGTAATTAAAATTAAGCATATTTGCTTATTCTTTAGTTTATCATATTGTTGAGTGATTATGACCTGAGTACTACCTAAAATTATACCTCATGAATGCAAGAAGTTAGTACATTTAATACCAAATTGGATTTCTCTCACCTTGACAATCCAATCAAATATCAATTCTGTCAATATTTCTAGCTTAAAAAATTAATGATTTAATATTTTTCTGCAACATTCCTTTCTCGAATACATTTTTCATAATATAAAAATATACTTCATCCTAAAGCTTATTTACATAACTACATACTTCACTAACTATAAAGCAATTTACATAAAATATACGTAATTATTATTATCCTATCAAAAGCGAAATTGTCGAAAAGTAGGGCAATTTAGCGCCAATTACAGTTAAGCAAGAAGTAACAACATACTCATAACATTTGCACTTTCCTTTGATGTAATTTAACTGATTCTTGATAAGTCACCCTGCCTTCAACAGAGCAACAAGCAGTGGATTATTTTCAAAGTTAAGAGATACTACCATTAAAAATCTTGTGGATTAATAAGCATGATATGATCAGCTAAATCAGGCCAAAAAAGCAGCAATAAACAGGAACAATTAGCTGTGAGAAATTGGCACTCACAGTGTTCTCATAGAATTTTTTATAAAACAAGAGAGCATAACAAAAAACATAAATCAGCGAAAGCCATTTTTATCATGCACAAAAACAAAGCAGGTCAAATATTGATTATATGTTAAATAAGCAGGCATTAGTTTCTTCAGAATTCCATAGGAATCATTAGTGTAATTTTGGCAGAATTTCCTTCAATTTCATGGTTTGAAAACAGCTAACTTTTACAGGTGATGGGATAATATAGAAGTACCTAAATATATAATGAAACTTTCATGTGATGACCTCGCATGGTTCCATCTCATTTTTAGATGTAAGAGAAGAATTTTGATTTGTTTAATTAAATATTATTGCTCATTTATTTGAATACTTATCATTTTGTTACTTTTTGATTTTTTGAAAATTTGATATAATAAATTTAACAGTATTTTTTCCCTAATTATGTAAATAAACTTTTCAACAAAAATACATTATATTTATAATACAGTTTTATGAAAGAAATGATTTTATTACTTAATTTATTTAGCATTTTCTGCACATATGTCAACACTTTCTTTTTATAATAATAATGTATTATAACTGTTTTTTAACGTATATTATTACTTTTGGTTGTATATTCCATTGTTCTTCATAACTTTTCAAACACTGAGTTCCAACTTAAATGCATTTTCAGTTGGTTTATTAGTTTTCCATATAAATTTTTTTGGACCTTTTTAAAATAAAATTGATGATTACAGAAAAGGAAAACAGAAATAAGGACTTTGCTACAAGTTTATTCAAAATGACCAGAGACAGAATAGACATCCTATAAGAAAGTATAATTCCATATAAATGGCATACCAAATATTAAAAACGGTTTCAAGATTGAAATAATAAATATTACCTGCTTTCTCGATTTTTTCTCACTAAACTTACAAATGTTTCAATTTCAGCAGCAGTGATATGTTTTTCCAAGAGTTTACGATTGCTATGGAGCAAAGCAGTAATAGTATCTTCAGCTAAAACATCATAACCAATCTGTTTTTGCATAAAACCAAACCATTTTGCGATATATTCCTATAATATTTCAAAGAAAAAAATATTTTATTTCATAAAAATTACAATTATGATGATAGAAAGTTATTAAAAAATTGATTAAAAATGACTAGTTAGGTAAATGATTATATAAAAGGATTTTTTTTTTGTACAGGATCTTCTGAGGGAAGCAGATATTTCATGTCACACATGAAAACGGCCACACAAACTTTAACAGCTAGCCAATTCAACACTCAGGAGAGAATCTACAAGAAACTAACAGTCTTGCAGGTACATTGCAGCAGTTTCACAGTTTCAGCTGCTAGCTCATTGGTCATCCCTATCTGCTTCATTGTCTTGGCTACCTGAAGGATTTTTTTAACAAAGATTAATTCATATTTATATTTGAAGTTTTTTAAATTTTAGAGTGGAATGCAGCTTTTCAGATATTGGACTCTATCTTGCAGGTCAGCAAATCCTTGAAAGAAGAAAAAAAGTTAACATCCTCTCATGCAGAGGATTATTTCCTGCTTTATTTAATATAATGAAATAAAAACATGAACCCAGGAACAAATAGAAAATAGGATACTTAAAGAAAAAAAATCCCTACAACTATTTTATTCAAGTACTATAAGTTTAAAAAGAATATAATCATTTACCTTATTACATTACTGTAGACTGACTAACAAATAAAACTTCTTTGCTGTTAATGCTGCCGCACAAAGTACTGAAGCTATACTGAACAATAATACATGTGTTATTATTCATATTAATTGTTAAACAGAGGCATTGCTTAATCATGCATAAATATGACAAAGAAAAAACCTTGAAAATTACACTGATGAGCCAAAACATTATGACCCTCTCCACATTCTTCAATGAACTCGTGTGGATGACATGGAGGGCACATGATTAAGTGGGTATGGTATTGAACTGCTGTTGGAGAAGGTAAGTAATCAATCTTGCACTTTTGCAATGACGGGAAAAGCTGCTGATTTAAGCAAATTTCATAGAGGGCAGATTATAATCGCCCAAAGACTCAGAACCAGTATCTCCGAAACTGCACGATTGGAACGTTTTCCATGATCTGCCATTGTTAGTATTAACTAGTTAACTCTGACAGAGCTGGCAATACTGTGGACATAAACTATATGTGAGACTGACAGAACATCTAAAATATGCAAACCTCCAATTTGAATACTCTATGACTAATTTGTATTCCGGGAGAAGTAAAGAAGAAATAACAGTGAAGATTCAAATCATGATAATTGGTTAATTAACATAAAATCCTACACATGTATTCAAAATTTGGTGGCTTGAAATTCTGCCATTTTTCCATAGTGCAAGGAACATACATATACATTCTTCATTATCTAAAAACAAAGCTTATAATTATACACCGATTAATACTAATTAAAAACAATTATTGAGATTGTGAAGGACTTGATAATTTTACCCAAATTTAAAGTTAAACAATAGTAAAATACTTATAGTTTTTATATGAAGGTCCACTGAATAAACAAAATAAAACAATAAGAAGAATAAACCTCATTTAAATGAAAGATTTACAGCATGAAAACCCTAAAATAATTATTCTTAGCAATCAATAATTTCTTTTTCTTATTTTTGCTGCTGCTTGCTTGGATTATGATATTCCGTCATCTCATGATTAACAAGGATAATACTGGGGATAACATCCCTGAGTAACTCAAAATCATGGTTAATCTGAGGAGAGCTATAAAACACAGGAAAGAGGAATAATGCATATTATAATCAACACAAAAATGCTATTAAGAATTTATCTGTATTTTTAAGCAGTTCAATCTGAAAATCAGTTAATTTGATTCTAAAAATCAATATTCAAAAGTCAAATTATAAAGTCAATATTCAAAACAAAAAAGAACATATTACAAATAACACAGAAATAAACATCATTAGAAATGAAGAAATTAAGTTATAAATAAAGTTATAAATGAAGGAGCAGTATTTACAAGAAAACTTGAAAATGTAAAACTTGTAATAAAAGTCAGTTAAAACATTTTGTTTTTTAGTGTACAACAACTGCATATTCTGAATGACACATATTAGTTTACATACTGGTTGTGGATAAAAACAATTCCCAAATACTATGAAACCATCTACTATCACAGAGCCCAGTTAATCTGCTCTCAGTAAATTAGGACTTGACTGTATGACAGCAAAAAATAAAAATTAATTTGATTATAAAAAACAATAATTATTTTTTGTTTTGTAAAGCTAGATAATTATTTCTCATGAGCATGAGTACTTCATTTTTTGAAATTTGAACTGGAAGAGCAAAAATATTATAACACATAGAAGGCATCTACAATATAATACCAAAATGAATACCTGATTTTTACGATAATCTTGTTGGGACAATCTAAGTATACGATAACATAAACGACAGATATGTTTGAATGGTGCGTGTCTGGGATCACTAAGTTCTTCCATCCGTAGTATTGGTCCATCTCCAACATCTGCAAATGGTGCTTGGAGTATTTTAAATAGCTGGGGAAAAAAAGCAAAATAGTAAATACTCACTTTTTCAAAGAAAATCAAATTAAAGATGTATGATCTTCAAGCACAATCACCTGTTTTAAAATATTCTGCTCTCGAAGTAACTTTTGACGTTCTCTGTTAGGATGAGATACAACAAGATCCAAAGGATCTGGCTTTTTGGGGTCATTCTCCTTCATGGCCACAAAGTAAATAATTTCCTGTAGCAACTGAGTAACAAACCTTAAGATAGAAAATGAAACAAAAGCTGTCAATGCAGCAAATGCTATTGTATCAATTACAGAAGTCAAATTAAATCAAATTTGTTTAATTCATTCTAAACATAGTTTTATGAACTGCTCTACATAAGGAGAAACATAAACATTTAAGAAACATGAGCTCAAGCATTTATTTTGCATTATAAAAGATATATATAGTTTTACAGAATGCTTGTTGATTATCTGGTACCCAAATGTACATGGTGATGAAATCTAAATTTTTTGTAATCATTTTTATTTTTGGCAGATATAGTTTGGCAACAGCCAAACAACCTAATACCAAGCAGACTGTTATTCTGTACCTCCACATGAACTCTGATAAGGCAAATAATGATGAGCTGCACCACTTTACTACTTAAGGCCCGTTTCCACTGCTGCATATGCGTTGCGGTGCGTATGCATTTCTCCAATCAGTGAGTGAATTCACTTTGATTGACATCTGCAATCCGGTCGGTGTGCGGTGAGAGATGACATACGGATGGAGTTTAACAATGTTCAACTTCTATCCGTATGTCTGCGGATGCGTTGGGGTCACGTGGTGAAAAAGGAGCAATAATGTGTAGTCACCAAAAATTAATGGTGGCAGAAGAGCGAAGAATGCTCGCTTAGGAAAAGAACGTTTTGCTAAAAAATACTTATTTCTGAATTAACATTATAGCTAGAAATCTGCTTGCTGAAAAAGATAGCAATCAGCTGAATTTAGTTAAAAAAAGATAAGAAAAACAAGATAACTGCAACTACAGTACTTGTTCATTCAAGAAAATCAGTGGCAAAAATTATAATTCCAAGTCCATGAAATAGCAAAATTTGTTCTGATAATCATTTCCTAGTTCTGCATACTCATTTAGCTTTAATGAAAATGAAAGTCTGACTATATCAAACTGCTATAGCAAATTAGATATGATTAAAAGATTTGCTATTTTTTTCTTTTGAAACAGGTAAAAACTAAAAACGTTAATTATAAATTAAATTTGATAGCCTTTTAAATACTCCAGTTCATTGAAGAGTATGTTAAATTTGTATTTCCCTTTATAAATATATCTTTTTGGCTAACATATATTTGTAAGCACATGAAATATATTTTTAGCAGCCCATTTAACTTCAATCGTAACGCCACTTAAAAGATAATGATTTTTGTAAAAAATGTACTAGAAGCTGAAGAACAAACTCTGGTGAATTTTTCAGACGATAGCACACTGAAATAGGACCAAAAAACTTAAGTTTTAAGAATTGATTTACTTGATGATGTATATAAGCCAAAATATGCATGCGATTCACGTGCAATCCTAGCTTAGTGGTAAAGCTGATGGTAAGTAACGAAGTTCAACTTTTGGAGTCGTGAGTTCGAATCCCATACGCTTTTTGCACCCTGTCTGCAACTTTCTTAGCTTTTTATTCCAATTTGATCTATATTCGTGTTTTATAAATTATTTCTATTATTATATGCATTAAATATATTGTTTTATTTATGCTCTTATTTATTTAAATTTTTTCCGCAAAAAAAGTTTGAAAATTATATAATACTAATTTAAAGCATATCCTGTACACATATATTTGAATTTAACAAACATTCTCTATTCGTAAAAAGCAAATTTAAAGTTAATTTAATTTTAAATGAAATTTAATGCAAACAAAGAAATGATTAATTATTGCTGCGAACTAATCTACAATATCATTTAAATTCTGAGAGCATATGTAAATCAAGTGCAAGTATCAAAATCCATGAATAAATATATAATTCCAAAAATTTATTAATCCTAAAAAATTTATAAAAATGCATAAGTGAATAATGGGATAGATTATTAATCCTAAAAAATTATAAAAATGCATAAATGAATAATAGGATAGATTTAATCCTAAAAAATTTATAAAAATGCATAAGTGAATAATAGGATAAATAAATTTTTGGAAATATATATTTATTCATGGATTTTGATACTTGCACTTGATTTACATATGCTCTCAGAATTTAAATGATATTGTATATTAGTTCGCAGCAATAATTAATCATTTATTTGCTTGCATTAAATTTCATTGAAATTTAATTAACTTTAAATTTGCTTTTTACGAGTAGAAAATGTTTGTTAAATTCAAATTTCATTCCTTGCAGCAATGACGCAAGAGAATTATTTAAATTTAATTTATTCTGAAACCCTGCAGATATATATATATATATATTTTCGTTTCACTTTTATGTGAATGTATATACATGTGCTCAGACTTTGGGATGTTTACGACTCTAAACTTTCATTCCAATTAACATGAGACAGTATTAATGCCCTAAACATTTTTTAACAAAAAATTACTATAATAATTGCTTTTAAATTCAGTCCTCTCCAGCAGAAGCGCAGGAATTAATTAATTAAATATTTCCATTTTCTTTACCTAATGTGTGTATATATAAAGAGAAAAATCTTATTTTTATAACTTCTTTTATAAAAAGAGATATGAATTAAAAATGTTTAAATTAAAAGTAATATGTTATGGATTATGCATAAAATATAACTGCCCATAGTGCATTTTAAAACAAACGAGATTTTTAATAAATTATCCAGCTATGACCCTGAAGTCAGCGGTATACAAGCATAGCAAATTTTGTGTAAATATTGTGAACCTTTCTTTACAGTTGCTCTGTACTTTTAAAGTACCAACTATTTTTTAATTCCTTTAACTTTTTGTTTTATTTATTTATTTGTTTACTTTTTCACTAACAGTACATTTTAGTTTTAATAATATATATATATTATTTCATAATATTTAAGGCTTCTAGAAAGACAATTTTTTTTTTTTTTTTTTTAAATTTACTTCAGTTTCCATGGAATTAGTGATGTTCATAATATGCATTATAACCTTACTTATCTAAAAATTGCTAGCACACTTTGCTTTCGCAGTTCATAAGCAAAAATAAAAATTTCCAATAACATGGAGTTCAGCGTCGTAACTCGCGAACTGCTTGTTTGGCGCCAAAATATTACAGTGACACCTAGCGGCGGAAAATGAAAATATTTTACGGATACGCAGCAGTGGAAATGCTTGTACAGATACCGTAGACGTGTCTTCAATTGACGCAACGCGTTCGTACGCAGTAGTGGAAACGAGCCTTTATACCTACATTTCCCTGGTCCTCACAAAAGTTTTATTGTTTACTAGCAGCTTTGCTGCCAGCCTTCGTCTGGCTTTTAAATATACCGGGAAAATGGCTGAAGGAAACAACAAACGTTAAATTTAAAAACTGCGTAGAATTTTACTCTGCAGAACAACTTCATAAAAAAAAAGTTATTACGTATAACAAAATTACAATAAAAAAAGCAATATCCCTTAATACAAATATTAATTATCCTAATAAATAAATTAACCAACTTCCCTTTGCAAAATCTTAAGAACTCAAATGGTATAAAGGACGTTAAGAACTTTGTTTCCTAAAAAAAATCACTCAAAACTTTTCAATATCTTAAAAACAGTGAAATGAGCAATAAATAACATAAAAGAATACAAAAAAAACAAAAAATTCTGAAAAGCAAAGTATAATTAATGATATTTTATCTTATATTTTCAGGAGAAAAAAATTACAATGAAATAAGCTATATCCCTTAATACAAATATTAATTATCCTAATAAAAAATTAACCAACTTTTCGTTGAAGAAAAAAAATCATGCAAAACTTTTCAATATCTTACAAACAGTGAAATAAGCAAAAAAAAAAAAAAAAAAAATAACATGAAAGAAACTCAAAAAACAAAAAATTCTGCGCAGAATTTTACTCTGCAGAACAACTTTATAAAAAAAAAAAAAAAAAAGTAATATATTATATAAAAAAAAAAAAATGACAATGAAATATGCCAATCTCTTAAAAACAGTGACATAAGAAATACGATGAAAAATTGTTGCCAAACCCATATTTCTAAAAGAATGAAACTATTCAAAATGATGCGATTTCATCAAAAATCTATCAACAACAATAAGAAAGGAAAATTGCTGCCAAAATCACATTTTTAAAGATGTGAGATGTGAGAAGTGTACTCGGAAGCTTCATTAAAAAAAAAAAAAATTTAAATACAAAATATAATCATTTTTCCAAAATTCTTTTTGTAAAAGCAGTCGCAAGGATGAAAGTTTAACGTGTCCAAAAATCAAAGAAAAATAAACTGTACATTTTTAAAAATAAACTTTTTTAGAAAAAGTTGAAAAGGTTTTAAGCTCCCTTTGTTAAATAAATTCATATTTAATCGATTTATTGAAACACGAAATTTATTTTAAGTTCGTAAAATAGCTAAGTGCCTACGTTTTACGACGATTTTAAAATGCAGTATGTAGAGTAAAATCTCGCTTTCCTACAGCCCATTATGTCTCAAAATGACGCGATTTCGTCACAAAACATAAAATTAAAAAAATTCTAATTCAAATTTCGAAAAAATCGCTTCGAGGTGCACTGGCTCTTGCTTAGATGCACCTATGTACTAAATTTCGTAGCCGTGGGTCTATTAGCTTATGCACAGCGCGAACAAGAGACACACTCTTTCTTTTATTATATGTAAGATATACAGATGCTAATATTGAGATCAAAACTGACACTGAAATTTAAAAAAAAAAAAAAAAAAAAAAAAATCTTCCTCCTCTCCCCCCCCCTCAAACTGAGAGAAAACATGAACAAGAAAGAAATAAAAATCTCATCTTTTTAGAACTGAGGCTGCTTCTAAGGCTGCTGAGTGCTTGGAAGATTGAATCATGGCTGGCAGTTCTTGTAATACATTGACATGAACTGATACAAAATAATCAATTAATAGCTTTTTTTCTTTACTTAGCATAACTTAAAACTTTAAAATACAATATTTTTTAAAAATAATATTATAAGTAAAAAATAGAATAAAATAACCATTCCAAGCCCCTAAAGTAATTCCCCCCAACAAGATATAAGAATTGCACATTTGCTAAAAATTTGCATAAAATATTAGAAGACATACTATTAAAATACATATAACATAAAATCAGGTCATTAAATATGATGTTTGTTTCTCTTACCTCCTTTCATTTTGTATTATTTGTCCTTTTTCCAAATTTGAGGAAATAGCATCAAGAACTTTGCAAGCATCATTTGCGAAGTCCAAATCTCTCACTTCGGTAGCTGAAACAGGCACAATAGCAAATGCTTCTTTATCTTCTTTTATAGGAGCACACCCAACCTATGAAATGGGCATAAAAGTTTCAACCTGATCTCCTTTATTACAGTTGTTCACTCAGTATGTATTTATAAAATATTACATGCATAAGCTTAAAAATAAATTTAATACTGATAAATTATCTTTTAGATATTAACGAACATTTATTATGGAGACTTTATTAAAATAATTTATCGAGAAAAAATAATGTTTTTGGAAATTGATAACAATCACTGACTTACAGTTTTATTTGCATTACAATAGGACTATTTTAACTGCACTGCCAATGATTTTATTAACTAACTGCAAACAGTTGTGTAAATATTTATTGATTTAGTATCTATGGCTTTAGGCATTCATTATTTACAGCACCTAAATTATTTTTGAAAATTAGAAAAGTAAATTTTTTAATAAGAAAAAAAAAAAAAAAAAAAAGGCAAGCGAGAATTCATGAGCATACAGTGAAATGCTGTAGTTGTCAATATTTTCACTACAAGTATAAATGCATACTTCATCATTCATTATTCAATTTGATATTTCATTGCTTATACAATGCTTTGGCAGAAAAGTGAAATTATTATTATTTTGTTATTTTCTTAAGCTGCAGAGAATACAAGGGCAATCAGTAGACATTTTTGCTTCCCGGAGCTATCTCTACAAGTCCTAAATTCTAATCATTATTAACTTTTTCAATGTGTTAGCAGCACAAATTATGAATTAAATTTCACCATATTTATGCATGTTAGATAAATACAGTGCTACAAAGAGCATTCATTGTTACCTACAGGTTCAAATAATTGTAACTGATCTTGGAACACATTTATTGCAAATACAACAGTACTACTGTACATACCAGAACTATCCAATTAAATATTATGCCATAAAATTGTATGCAGTCAAATTTTGTTTTTTCGTTATTATTATGTGTCCCAACTTTTAAACAGGGGAGAAAAAAAAAGCTCTTGTTAATGCACTACACCAGTTTAGCAACTCTATCAGAGTTCTTCAGACCACTGTCAAATGGCCAGGATTTCTAATTACGCCATTTACAATCAAACAGCTCTAAGAAGGGTAGCCAACTTGGCACAATCCATTAACAAGAAGATTTTGGGCATCATTCAAATAATAGGGCTCAGAATAATAAGGAAGAACCCAAATTTTTAATAGCCATACAGAAAAGGAAGTAAATAAATTAACAAAATAAACCATTAATTATATCTACAACAATCAATGGTCAATACATTTCAAACATTTAATATCATTTCAATGGTAATTGTGCTACCAAAAGTATTATTCAAAATTATTACATTAAAAAATAATTAATTGTTGGAAATTTTTTTCTTAAATTTTTTATTCATATTTTTATTAAGATTTTAACATTTAAATTTTAATTAGCTATATTAGATCTATATTTTTATAAACTGCTGAAAACATAGATCCACAGGTTCAATTAATAAAAAACACAGATAATTGTTTTCTTAAATACTGAATCCAATGCCACTTGTTTCAATTTTTTAATTGTCTAATTTGTTAGTTTTTGTTTTATGATACTACAAACAAAAACTTTTTTCATAATGTATTAATACAAAATAATTTTCATTACTGATGAAATTATGGCATACCTTCTGACAATCTCTTGTTTCATTTCATGTTTTTCTAAAGCACTAGCTAATACATTAGATGAATAAATAGAATTTTTTTAAAATTTAAAAATCTATCCATTTTCTCTCCATTTTTTAAAAAAATTATATGATCAAAATAAATTACAACAAAATTACAGAAGGCTGCAAAAAAATAAGAATTAATATATGAAATACCCATTGACATGGATGCGATTGTTAATGTGCTTATGAGTAATTTGAAAGTGGGTTAAGTTTCAGATACAGAGAATGCATCAGAATGGGTAGCCTGAGTATTAATGTAGAGTATTTTTAATAGCACAAGTTACTTTGAGTAGAAAAAAAGCAAGAATGTGTTAGCTGAAAAAGTGGCCATATTTTCAGGCATTAATATTTTCAAATATATGCAATGAAAAATATGTGCTTGCATATTTTCTGTATATATTGGGTTGGAGGGAAAGTTCTGTCGTATTTTAAAGAAAATATTTGAATTCATTTATAAAAATATGTGTTTAATATTAATCAATTATATATGCTCCATTATTTGTTACAACCTGTTGCCATCTTCCAGGTAACCTGTAAATTCCTGTTTTGTAGAAGTTCTCATCCATGGAGTTAAAATAGTCAGCAACTGCCTTAGAAACACTTTCAAAAGACTTGAATTTTTTTCCTGTTAGATAATTTTGCAGAGATCTGAACAGGTAATAATCAGAGGGTGCAATGTCAGGTGAATACAGGGCGTGACTAAGGATTTCCCATCCTAACGCATTCAGTTTTTGTAGTGTCACCACTGCAGTATGCGGGCGAGCATTATCATGATGGAACACTATTCCTTTTCTGGACGCTAATGCTGGCCTTTTTTCTTTGATAGCTGCATTAAATTTATCCAGCTGATTGCAGTACAGATCCGCGTTGATGTTTTTTCCCTGTTTCAGCAACTCGTAATACACTGGACCTTTCCTGTCCCACCACAAACAAAGCAGTACTTTTCGTTGATGGATACTTGGTTTTGGAACTGTTGCTGATGATGTTCCTGGTTTGCAGTAAGATTTTTTTCTTTTAATATTCTCGTAAAGAATCCACTTTTCATCTCCAGTAACCAGCCTGTCCAAAAACGGCTCCACATTGTGTCTAATCAGATGTGATGAACATATTCTTACACGATCAGACAAATTCTTTTCCGTTAATTCATGTGGAACCCAAACACTTTGTTTTAACACAAACCCAAGAGATTTAATGTGATCTCCAACAGTTGTATGATGAATGCCAAACTCTTCTGCAATTTCTCGACTTGTTAAATGTGGATTATTTTCCAACATGGATCGCAAAACATCATTATCGATCTTGGATGGTCGTCCAGATCGAACACTTTCTTTGAGGCTCTTTCCTTTTAAGAAGGACTAGATAATGGATAAAGCAGTCTAAAAAAAATCACAAATTACCTTTGAGAAGTTTGTATTAACAAACACAGAAGTTTATGCTGGCAAATAATATGCTTTGATATAAATTAAACTAATTAAAAAAGCAGCTTCTATCCCTGCATCACATTTCAAATGCTCACCAATCATATTTACACATAACATATTATATTTAATTACATTACAACATGTATATGTAATAAATATTCTTTTGCATTATACTATTCCCCTTCCCGGAAAGCTACTTTTCCCAGTTAGAAATAAAACTTCTAAGGCAATGACCAATATACGAGAAGAAAAATTTAACTAATACTAAAAGCCATATTGCATATATATTTACTTTTGACATTACAGGTCTTTCCTCTTCCTTATCAATTGGAATAGTTGTGCTATGAACCCATGTATTTGTGCACAGATGTCGTAAACGTACATAGGAAGATCTAAAAAATAAAATACAACATATGGATTAAGTGAATGCAGATAGTAAAAATATTTTTTATTTAATCAATCACTATTCCTATTTAAATTGTCTTTCAGTAATAAGATACAAAATATCTTTCTTTAACTAAATGATTGAAAATGTTACACATATTATTATAATTGAGTATTGTACATTTTTATGAAATTTTTAATCCTTTTTATTTTTATATATGCAATTACTAATTAAATAAATTATTTTACTGAACGGAGACAAAAATTATTAGCAAAATTCCAATTAGCTGCTTATGCCAAAATACATGCACATCTTAGTTACTGAACATAAGATTTTGGTATTGCTTAGATTAGCAAAAGCCAAAAGCTTGCTCAAATCAAAAAATTATTGAAAAGTAAATGACATTTACACCAACCTGCCCACCAAAACTGAGTCAGCAATTTTGCTGGGAGTTTGAAGGAAATGCTTTTATTTAATTAGATAATAACATGATTGCTTCTTAACTATAAAATCAACAGATAAAAGTTATGAATGTGGTATATGAAAACTTAAATAACTACAAGTTAAGGTTTTTGGATTATATGACAAAGAAATTTATTTAAATTAGGGCTAATCACTCTAGCAGTTAAAAATCCCTAATGGAATATAAAATGGTGACCAAAACAGTCATTTTCTATATCAACTTATTGCCATATAATTCACTTGAATATGAATCTAACTGTTATTGTGCTGTTCTGTGATATCTTTTATAGTACCATTTTGACAAACACCACAGTCTTTAACATAATTTGGACATATTTCCTTAAATGAAAATTAAGGACTTTCAAGGATTTTTAAAGAACACCAATAAAAAAAAAATTAAGGGCATTTTATCACATAGAATTGAAGAAATTAAAGAAATTATCTATGCAACCACTTCCACTCTCACAACAGCATTCCAAGAATAAAACAAACATGTATAATGCATTATTCAGGGTTCGTACACATTTGCACACGGAAATTAAGTACTTTTAAGGACCATTAATGAAAAAAATTAAGGACCTATGAGCAAATGGGAAAATAAATTTAATTAAAAATATTATTCTATGCCTGAATTTCACTTTTGTAATATCATCCTAAAAATAAAATAGGTCCCTAAGTAGCGTGCGTTATTACTAAATATGAATTAATGAACATAATTATTAACAAGTTTGAGAATAAAATAAAATCCATGCAGTTTACCATGATAATATTTTACATTTATAATATTTTACATAAATATTTTACATTTATAATGGGTTGGACATATTTGAAAGAAGATATGTGACATTTACGTTTTACTAATAGTTAGCTTTATGTTGATTTTTTTATGTCTCATTTTGTCACATACTTAGTCAGTCTAGAGGACAGGTTCTCAACCGGTGGTACGCAAGAAAAAATAGGTGGTACACAAAAAAGCAAAGTATTTTAAGCTATTTATTTCAAAAATTAAAACCCCAACATCCTGATTGAGTTTTTTCTCTAATACTCGTAATTTTATGCGACCTGAGCTTTGTTCAAGATTGGTGGTGGTAGAAGTACTTTGTAGTAGTGGTACTAAAGGTTTTCAGTTTTTGTTTAGATGGTAAAAGTTAGTCAAAAGGTTGAGAATCGCTGGTCTAGAGGTTTAGTAAATAGCAGGTAGATTTTTATATCAAACAGCATAGGTTAAAATGAGAAGCAAGATCATAATCAGCATCATTCATAACAAAAGATTGAATGTTATCACCGGTGCTGCTTGTCTAGAGAGAGACCTGCTGATTAGAACAAACCTGAAAGGCCTGATGTAGGCACGGTTGGCAAGTATTGAAAGTTAGTCAGGCTCTGTTTGATGCAGTTAGTGTCATAGCTTTGTGTAGAGTTCCAGGGGTTGTAACCCAGTTAATATATTTTCAGGTTCCAATAAGCCATTAAAGCACCAGGGGTGATAAGTTGTTTTGTATTATTTTAAGTCTCACTAGATGCAAAGAATAAGTTATACTTGAATTTCTACATTTTTGTGTTTTATCTTGTGATCACAGTGAGTATCAATGAAAGGCAATAAATAACTCGCTTTAATATGTAGAGATGTAAACAGTTAGTTATAAATAATTAAATTAGGTAAATAGTTAACCTTAGTCATTATGGATTTACATGGCCACTATTAAATTTTTTTTAACAGTATTTGTTAAAAAAGGCCTATTAAAATCAACATCTAATAAAAATTCACAGCTTAAAATGCATGTAATTTACAACACTGATTCTTAAAGGATATTAGAATAATTACACTTTGAAAGCTACAAAACATTTATGTTTTGTAACAACAACACTCAACAAAATATTTATCCGTAATTTTAATTTGAAGCCTTCCCAAACATTTTGCCCAGTTTACACCCATTTCCTTCTCTTTATAAGCATCTTTTCTAACAATAATTAGAGATTTGTCTCAATATGCAAACCAATGCTCTCACTAGTTTCTGCGTGCTTTATCTCCTAACTTGTCAACCTCCCCACAATGTACCTATGAGGGTTTATTTGATCTGGTAAAAGTGAAATAGTCCAAAACCCCCGATAGATGTGAAGCAAATTATCACTATGTCTGAAAGTAACTACAATATCAGACAAAGGTTTAAATAAGCCTCTTATTTAAAAAGAACTTAGAACAAACATAAAGACATGTTCTGATGCTTCAATTACATCTCACGGTGACGTAATTAAACAAGAACAGTCAAATTCAAACTAAAAATGTGGACTAGTGGTCAAAGATTATACAACTTAATTTTAATTTAAGCTGACTCAGTAATTCTATCATATGAGGAAACAGAAATGGAAAATTATAGTAAAGGCTGAAATCATAATTAATTGTGGAATTTACATAATAATAACTGCCCATATCTTTAAAGAATAATTTTCTTTATGTATTAAGTTTTCTTTCTTCAGCATTTTTCCTTTTCATTTTAGAATTTTTGGATTTAATTAAGGATTTCTGATTCTGTTTTTCTAAAAAACACTAAATGCATTTAGAATGTATAGAAAAAGTGACTAATTTAATTTCTTTAGTAATATAGATTTCAGAAGAAATATGAAATTTCCAAATGAAATAAAAAATAAAAGAGGTTATAGTAAATTAAATTTTGAAGTTTGCTTTCATATTTTTTATCTTACATATATATAATATTTGTATTAGATCATTCTAAATCTCAAACCTAAGTACATTTTTAATTCATAAGATAAAATTGAAAAAAAAAAAAAAAAAAAAAAGTAACTGCAGGCTATTATATATAGGATGCAACATGCTATTTTATATCAATTCTATTTACTTGCGAACAAATCTTTATGCTTTCCAGAACACTGCAGCATATATTCATTTTAAAAACCATTTTGTAAAAAAACAAAATAAATATTATTTCCAAAACTTTAGAACTTTGTACATTTTTATGAATAATACATAAATACATTTATGAAATTATATATGGTTGTAATTTGGGACCAATTGCAGCAAAGTGAATTGGAGGCTGAAGAAATTTATACTCCAATATAAAACTAATAATGGATAATACTAATAAATAATAATGGATAAAACTAATAATGTGTAATACTATATGGTGCACAAGGAATTTAAAATTTTCAATTAAAAAAAATATAAAACTGCAGAAAAGATGACTCACCAGTGGTACATGCGACCACAAATGTGAATGTTGCTGTCACTCGCCAGTGGATAACTAACCCCAAAAACAAACCAATAATGATCCACTGATGGGTCATGTTGCATTTAAGGTGTTAAAAAAGTATTTAAACTATTATATGTTAAAAGCCACAAAAAGTCGATAACACTATAAAATGCTTGTGTCTTTTTTAATATGAAAAGTTTTCAGATATTTTAAACCTTTTTCCTTATCCTTTACTACATTTCTAAGTTCATTTGCTTAACAAACAAATCAATGTTTCCATTAGTCTGTCACCACCCATGCAGTATATGCTAATTTGTTAATATTACCAACAATACCTCTTTGAAGAAGAATTTGCTTTATGCAATTAATTTTTTCTTCAATGAATATTTGATTTATGTCTGAATTTTATGATTTACTTGGAAATTTTTGTTGCTCTACAAAACTGTACATATTAAGAATGAGAAGAGAGATTTTATTTCATTAGTAATTTCAATAATGAGAATAATTTCAGAAAACTTTATGATATATGATATGATGCATATACAGATAGAAAATTTTTTAAATTATCAATTTTCAGTATCTTTAAATCAGAGTAATAACTATAACAGAGAATTTTTTTTCAATTTTAATATCTTTATCTATGAAAATCACAAAACAAAAGAAGAGAAAATAAAGGAAAGAGAAAGATATTTTGAACCCAAAGTAGACAAGATACTTCTTTATGATTACAGCCTCGTTATTAAAACAAGATCAAAAGCCATCTTGTTACTGAACTGCATGATAGCAGCAACAGTACTCAAAGCTTCTTGCAAACTGTTGCCTAACAGTCGGCAATACTAAACACAATCGTTGAAAAAAAAAACTATGACTAAAGTTGCCACCTAGATATAGCACATTACCAAATAAAGGGCTCTAGGCACTGTTTAAACAGCTGGGGGCTTTGATAATATGGAAGGGTCATAGATAATTCAGATAATTTTGTTTTCACAACTTTTTTCCAAGAATTCTCCAAATAATATGAAAAACTCAACACAAGTTTCTTGTTACGTCGGCAGCTAAATGCTCCTATGTTTGCTGAGAATGGACCTGTACTGAAAACTGCCTGTGGTAAACCTGTAGCCGCCTCAGGACGTTGTGTATTAAAATTTGATTTGAATGGGACTAATTGACTATTTGAATGGGAAGCCGTTTGAATTCCTTGAGTTTCCTGAATGTAGTCATCAAATGGTACTTGGATGGAACTTTTTCCGTGCAAGCGATGCCGCTATCGATTGTGGAAACCAAGAACTTACACTTACAGAAATCCTTCCAGACAATGAATATTTAAATTAGTCAGAGC